TCCCTGCTCAGCCCTCTTAGTGATGCCGGAGCGACATTATATTCCAGCTCCGGGATCACTGCTGTGCGCGTGAGGGAGCTGAGCAGGGAGATCACTGCCCACTGCTCCCTCGCCGCCCACGGCCATTTTTATTTTATAAATTTTGGCGGAACCCCAGGATTCCGCAGAATACCAATTGGGAAACGCTGCACTAATGCCATACTGTTAAAACATTGAAAGCTAAATAAATCTTAACCCCTTAAGGACCAAACCTCTGGAATAAAAGGGAATCATGACATGTCACACATGTCATGTGTCCTTAAGGGGTTAAATACTGTGCCAGTCTCATTGCAAGCCAACAACTGAATCCATTTCACTCATTTTCCTTAGAATTACAGATTATATGTACACCAGGCGACTGCTGGGCTACAGTTCTTAAATGTAGCACTGATCATGAACGTTCCATTAGTTTCCATGGTAACTGCTCCACTTTTAGAACGTTGCCCACCATTATGCTTTACAACACTAACACCCCCATATTTTAAATCATTTTAGTCATTCCCTTTTGTAACTATATACAGACAATACCATCTTAAGCCTGCAAAAGGGGGGGGGGGTGACAAAACCTCCCCAAGTCACACTGCCAAATACAAACGGCCTCTAACCCCACATCTTCACCTGTGCGGTAAATGCCAAGCTTATGAAACCTAGGGATATGCTGGCCGTACAGAGCAGCCTGTTACTGTGATTAAATCCTTTAAACCTCCCGAAACACCCCTCAGACTAGGCCAGGCATTGGTGCAGTCCGCCTCTGTTACCCCCTCCCCCCCGTGACGCAGCAGTGAGGTACTCAGGCCTCTCTCTCTACAAGCCGTCGAGTCTTACAGGGGGTTTTCTTGGACGCGGCCTCCGTTGTTTGTTTGTCGTTACCTCCCGTCCCGTTTGCCGGCCCGTTTCCTGCCTGCCGGCCCGTTTCCTGCCTGCCTTACATTCGGTGAGAGCCCTCCGTATTCGCTTTGATCTCTGCACTCCCCCGCCCACCCCATTGTCCCCGCACACAGCCGTCATGCCGGGACTGGCTGGGTCTGTAGGCCTGGCTCGGTTGAGCCGGGTTGACCCACGGCGGGTGCTGCCGGTAGTGTGAGCTCCCCCCCCGTTCTCTGTATGGGGATGTGGGGGGGCTGTTTATGGCGTGGGACCCTGGCACGCGGTCGGGCCTATTGTTTCCTCGTTCACTAAAACCCCAGGGTAGCAGTGACTTGAAATCCGGCAAAATGGTTAGGCCAAAAAAAAATAAAAAATCTGATATTTGGAAAAACTCCATTTACATTTTAGATTTTGTATCTAATCGAATCTTGGCTACATTAGCCTTGGTTTTAACATTCGGATTAGAATTCCATTAGAATGTCAAGTGAAGCCGGTAACCCACCCGGCTGTCTCTAATATAACTACACCTGGCTCTTAGAAATAATACATTTTAATCTAGCCATTTAGTGTCTGGCTTTGGTCAGTCCTGGTCACTGTGACTATACAAGGAAGCCGCTGTCTGCCCTGAAAGTGAGAAGTTTAAGCACTCATGGCCTCTGATCCACATAATGGGCTTTTTGTATATTTTTATTCTTCTCCCTTTTTTTTTCTTTTTTTTTTGTACCAGCAAATGCTGTGCCCTCAGAGATTGTCCTGTTAACCTGCACATATTGCAAACATACTACTTATGTGAGGTGTATTTTGTCTTTCACAGCAACATTAGTGCAGTTGTTTCCATGTAATCCATAATATTAAATCATAGAACAGTGTACTGCACTCCCTCATTGTTTGCAGACGTTGCTTGATACATCCCAGGCTTCAAAAATTTCCTCACTCGTCCTCAATGTTTTTGGATGTCTGTATTTGATAAGTCTCTATTGTTTGCTTCTATGTATATTGGGTGTCCTATATATCCAGACTCTGGCACTCATCCCCCCAAAAAAATTATTAAAAAAGTAACATTACCCAGGTGCTTCCAAGCCAGTAGATAAATATAATCAATCAGGAGCACTGCCTTGGATTTTCAAAAAACGGTATTTAATCCAGTGTTAATAACTCACATCAACGTTTTGACCCGACGGGGTCTTTATCAAGAACATATTTTGACCCGTCGGGTCGAAACATTGATGTGAGTTATTAACATTGGATTAAATACAGTTTGTTTGTTTTTTGAAAATCCAAGGGAGTGCTCCTGATTGTGTGTGTGTGTTTTTTTTTTTTTCTTTACATCTGTATTACTAATCCACAGGCTCGCCACAGTTAATTTTTTTTTTTTTTCCTCTTACTCCACTGCATGCAGTGCATTGTTACACTTGGCCTGTGTCCATGGCTTTTGTCCAAAATGTTATTAGTAACAAATGGTGGAAGAATAACTTTGAAATGAAGCAGGCCTGTTTGACCCCTGATGTATAAATTAACATATTTAACTTGAACACATACTACCAAAATGGCATGGAGTTGGGTGTGTAGAGGAAAAAACCCCAAAACATTTAAAAAAAATAAAAAATCTGCGTCATCAGGTAAATGTTTGCTTATGCTAAAACATACCTACTCTTTCTTTAACCACTTAAGGACATGTCATGATTGCCTTTTATTCCAGAAGTTTGGTCCTTAAGGGGTTAAATGGATATGCTAAGCACCAAAACAACTTTAGCTCAATTCTGTCTCTTGGATGTTATATCACTTTTGTTTGTTTATACAGTCCTAGCCACACTTTCCCTGGCTGTGACTCACGTGTCCTCAATTTAAAAAGGGTTTCATTGTCAATCAGATCTTACAGGACAGTGTGTTTAATTTAGAAGTTCTTATTTCCTGCTGAACTTAAAAATCATATGAGTCTCTAGCAGGCATTTAACAAACATGGAAATTTAGTTTCTGAATTTAACGCACTGCAATAATGGAAGCTTAACATCTTAAAGGAGCACTATAGTACCAGGAAAACAAACTGGATGGGTTAAAACCCCTTCAGTCACTTACCTTTCTCCAGCGTCGGGCTCCCTCTGTGCTGGGGAACTCTCCACCCCCTGCCTACTTCAGATCCGCATGCGCAGCAAGAGCCGCGCATGCATTCAAACCGCCCATAGGAAAGCATTGCTCAGTACTTTCCTATGGACGTCCAGCGTCTTCTCATGTGACTTTTTTTTTTTTTTTTTCACTGAGAGTTTACCTGTAACTTATGGATAAGAACAATATTGAATTACTTTATTTTCTGTGCTTCTTTTGCAGGGCATCTTTTTTATGAATAATCAAAAGCAACAAAAGCCAACGCTATCTGGCCAGCGTTTTAAAACACGAAAAAGAGGTGAGTGTCTACCTGGCAACGAAATTATTTTGGTGTAAATTCAGTTGGTTATTTTAGCCTCTGTTTTACAGTGTGGTTTTTGTTTTGATTATAATTTGGAGTGGGGGGTAGGGTTCTCTAATCCTGGTGTGTGCGTACCTACATTCCACTCTGGTTCCTGTCAACTCATCGAGTAGTTTCATTTTTTGAAAAAAAAATTTTTGTAATTTTTTTTCTTTCCACTCCTTCTCTGAAAATATTCCATGCATTACATCGTTGGTTTGGTGGTCATCAGGTTGTCTGATTTAAAGGTAACGGGGAGTGGACACAACTCTCTTTTTAAAGGGTCAATATTTTTTTTTTATTTTTTTTTATACACATTAGACTGTGTATTTGAGTAAAAGTGCAAAGGAGTTTAAAAGTTACTGGGCATTCACTCAAAGCTGCGTCTTTGTGTAACTATTCCTCATATGGTAGACTTTAAATATATATCTATATCCCCTCTCTTTAAAGTTGTTTATGTTGTCTCCCTACTGTAGGGTGGGCCAAAATTCAGAGTTGGTTTTGAGGAGTTTGTGTGTGGTGTGTGTGTTTTTTTTTTTTTTATTTTTTTTTTTTACCAATTTTCAAAATTACATACACTGAATGCCTAACATATGGAAGATGACATGTTCTTGCTACCTCCCAAACTCACTTTTTGATTGTGTGGTTCATAACCTTAGTTGATGCTTGAGGCTCTAGCGCTCTGCCCGATTACTTCCCACAAGGTCATCCTGCACCTTGCGGGAAGTAGTTGGGCAGAGCGCTAGAGCCTAATGAGTGCTGATGAGTTATCCGTGGACTTTCTTTATCACAGAAACAGATGTCTTTGCTTTTATTGACGAAAATCAACTTCATCGGACATGAGTTGATTAATAAACGGCTCTGGCTAATTTGTTGTTCCTTCATGACATTATACATGATCACTTTTTATAAAGTGAGACTTGACACAGGAAAAGATTGTTAATCCGCACTCATAGGAAGCGAGTTGTGAATGGAATATAAAAAGTGCAAAACCTGAGCATAGGACCACATGCTGTACAGGGTGAAGACCAGTAAAGCAGCCGACCCTAAAGAAAGATTAGAGGAGCCCTGCATGCGTTTTGTACAACTCCGGGTGCTTTCTCAACATCTCGAGCACCTTTCATAAAGCATCATGGAATTGTGCCTAATTATCTAAATGTTGTTTTCTTCACATACCCCGTAGTGTAATTTTCTGAAGCTTCGTCTAAAGTACTAAAATTGTGGTGGCACAGTGTGTTGGTGACTCTACCGCTTTTCCATGTTTGAAACCCCTTTTAAAAATACTTACACATAATTGCATTGGTTTCATTAGTTTTCCTGTCGTTTGTTTTTAACTTATTTATTTTTTGCTAGGTAGGTCTATGTATAGTTTAAGGGCAATTTATGTTGAAAATCATATGGGACTGCAAGTAGTGTCCATTTATGGGAAACATCTGGGTGGTGTTAGTGTGCCATATTTTCAATTTGCATTATCCTGATTTTTAGCCATCTAATTTCTCCCACCCACCCTCAATGTTCATGTTTCAATATACAGAATGTTACTTTTTTTATAGCAAAGATTCATGAAGATATAACACGTTGTCTCTCTGACAACCCAATTTGCACTTGTTCCCCTTTAATTTGACTGGTTGCTGTGAGCTGTTTAGAACTGTGGTGCGAGACTGTTATGTTCTCTATTAAATCGGTAGCAACCCTCCATGTGATCTTTCATTTGTTGCATGCTGTCTGACCAATGATTTTTATTTTTTTCCCACTTTTAGATGAAAAGGAGAGGTTTGACCCTACCCAATTTCAAGATTGCATTATACAAGGCTTAAATGAAACTGGCAACGATTTGGAAGCAGTAGCAAAATTTCTTGATGCTTCTGGCGCTAAGCTTGACTATCGTCGCTATGCAGAAACACTCTTTGACATTCTTGTGGCTGGTGGGATGCTGGGTAAGTAAAGCTCTTTAACTGTAGTTGGTCAAATTAACTTAAAACACAAACTATTATTTCTACAACGGACAATCTGAGTTTAAATTGTATCTGCGTGTTTTTTTTTTTTTGTTTTTTTTTATTAGCACCAGGTGGAACTCTGGCAGACGACGTGATCCGTACTGATGTCTGTGTGTTTTCAGCACAGGAAGATCTAGAGACCATGCAGGCATTTGCTCAGGTTTGTGATTTAATAGTTTTTCTGTGGTAGCACACAATACTATTTACATGAACATCTCTATAATTAGACTTGAATCCTGTTTAGTAGCAAGACTACATGGTCTAGAGATGTCTTAAATTTTATTATTCCCAATAATTTGACTGCTTAAACTTGAAAAAGCTTTAAAAGATTTTTATAGTTTTTTTTGTTTGTTTTTTTTTTTTTTTGTTTTGTTTCTCAATCAGGTTTTTAACAAGCTTATTAGACGTTACAAATACCTGGAGAAAGGCTTTGAAGAAGAGGTCAAAAAGGTAATGTATAATTTATGCTTATGCCTTCAGTAAGTAGTCAGAGATCAAGCCACTCTACTCACTAATCCAGATATTGTGGAATACATCTCCATTAAAGGGACTCTCCAGGCAACCGTTTTTACTCACCTGGTTCCAGCGCCGCGAGCATCATGAAGCCGCGCCCCCTATTTCATCAAAATGATGAAATAAGCGGGCGTGAGCAGGGAGCAATCAGACTCTTCTATTTGGAAGCGTCACTGCTCCCGCATGCGCGGCTTCACCGCACATACTTCATAGGACGGCATTCATGCTGCCCTCTGAAGTCCTGTGTGCGCGGACGCGAGCTGACTCTCAGCTCGTGGTCTTTGCCAGTCCCCCTCTCCTCTGCTGACAGGCAGGAGAGAGAAGGCGCGCACACAGTGCCTTCTCTCTCCTGCGCACGTCAGACGTATTTATACATGATAGGTAGTCTGAGTGATGGCCACTGGAGGTATTCCGATCAATGTAAACACTATTTTTCTCTGAAAATAGTGTTTACATTAGACTGCCTGCAGGGAGCTATAGATCTCTCCTGAACAACTACATTAAGCTGTAGTTGTTAAGGTGACTATAGTGTCCCTTTAATGCTATACCAGCATTAAGGCTGTAAAAGTATTATGGGAGATATAGTCCAACATCTGGAGTGCCGAAGGTAGCCAACCGTGCACTAGTCAATGAAAAGCAATCCAAGAATTATTTTTACGATGTTCTGATTAGTACGGTGTATTCGTTTTATTGGGACATTTGATTACATATTGGGACATTTTATTTACAAATTTTCAGTCTTAGAGTTGATCTTCACGATTTTCTGTACCCAGGCATCCTTAAGCACTTCAGATGTTGTGAATGACATCTTTCCTAATGCTCTGCTTGCGTTATGGGGGATGTTTAACATCTAGCGTTCCAAAGGTTGCCTACTCCTGCTCTACAACTTATGCAGTGTCCATACATTGTATAGCACTGCCATAATGAGTTCATACTTTGAGTTAATCTTGCCGCAAATGTTAAGGAGGAAGATAAAGCTGTGAAATGTTTAACTGTAGTGTAGGGTGTAAGGCCTCTAAACTATACGGACCAGTTTAAATTTGTGAGAAGATTAATCTGTATTCTGCTTGAAGTCTAGAAATTTATCATGACTTGATTTCTCTTTTTCCAGCTTTTGCTATTTCTAAAAGGTTTTTCAGAGTCTGAGAGAAATAAGTTGGCCATGCTCACTGGCATTCTTCTGGCTAATGGGAATTTGTCTGCATCAATTCTCAACAGTCTTTACAATGAGAACTTGGTCAAAGAGGGTGAGTTAACGTGCCCACTCCCGAATCCCTTTTGCCTTGGATTACTCCATTTTATCGGTATACTAGACTAAATATTTTACTTTTCCCTTTTAGGTGTATCTGCAGCATTTGCAGTAAAACTATTTAAATCATGGATTAATGAAAAAGACATCAATGCAGTTGCTGGTAGTCTTCGAAAAGTCAACATGGACAATAGACTAATGGTTTGTATAGCTTCTGACATAACGCTGTATCTGACTCCCAAATGCTTGAAACCATAAATGTCTGGATGTGCATCATGGGTAGTGTAGTAAAAACGATCACTAAGGGTAGTTAAACCTGCAATGTATGGTGGTATCAGAATATAGCATTAGTCTTGGGCTTTGTTCTTCTCTACCTCATATCTTAAATGTCTGATCTAAAACTACTTGAACATAGCCCAATAACTTTATGAATTATTGAATATTTTATCACTGTATCATTTTCAACTTTCTAGGAACTTTTTCCTGCCAACAAACAGAGTGTTGAACACTTTACTAAATATTTCACCGATGCGGGCTTAAAAGAACTTTCAGAGTATGTAAGGAACCAGCAAACCATTGGGGCTCGAAAAGAGCTTCACAAAGAGCTGCAAGAAATGATGGCTCGAGGAGAAGCCCTTAAAGAGGTACTTGGGTTTTGTATTTAGATTTGATTCTTAAACTTAAAACCTCCAGAAATATGCACTAACTAATGTCAACATTATTTTTTATTTTATTTTTTTAGATTAGTCTGTATGTAAAGGAGGAGATGAAGAAAAATAACATCTCTGAGCAGACTGTGATAGGCATCTTATGGTCCAGTGTGATGAGCTGTGTTGAATGGAACAAAAAGGAGGAGCTTGTTACAGAGCAAGCCATTAAACACTTGAAGGTAAATTGACAATTACCTGTATGGTGTTTTATTACAATTGTCTGGGCACAATCTAATCGTTCTGTCTAAAATCTTGTCTCCAGTCCTCTGGCCCTACATAAGACATGCCACCTCCACGCAGAACTACAGAATTATGTTCTGTATAGAAAAGGTGCATTAAGTAGTGTGTGGTGGTTTGTTTTTTGTTTTGAATATTTGTATTTTAAGCACATTAGGAATTTAGGCATCCTAACTGATTTATAATAAGGCAAATGATTGCCCACGTAGGGGCTGCAACATTGATCTAACAGTATTCCTTTGGTTGCCTGCGCCGAGGCGGATTTGTTTTAAATGTTTCATTTGTATTTGGTGTTGCAAGTACAAGCAGGTAGTCTTTCTTGTTTCATGGAAAGCTTATGGTTGCTTGCGCAGAGGCGTTTCAGATAAAACGTGCAGGTACATTAGGCACTAGGATTTGTAACAGATACTTGCTCTACTAATCCACATGACTTCGTTCAGGTTGTGGATTTAGACTATTTTTCCATTTGTCTTGTTTGTCATCTAGCTGTGTGTTGCTAAGGGTAGACAGGTAAACGGAGTCATTACCAGAGCGGCATGGTGGTGATGGCGTGAAGGTCTAAGGCTAGTCTTGGGGCGTGATTTCCCATTTCCCTTGGGGGCTTTGGTGGGTATTCAGCTTGTGTGTCTGTGGATGGCGCGATGTTTGTGTTTTGTCTCTGTGCGTGGGGCATGAACCGTGCCCCAGGTGGTGATTGTTGTCATTTTTTTAGGTTGCCCGGACGGTCGTTACGATGCCCGAGGCCCTTTGTGGCTGCGTTGTTTATGTTCTGTGTTGGTGGTCTAGGGAGGCAGTTGTCCAACCTATGTCTCTGATGGCTGCGGAACCCGTTTGTGTTTTTTTTTTTTTTTTGTTTTTTTTTGTCATTCTTATGTGGTTTAATAACCCCATCTCAAAATATGCTATCAGGCTACATTGTGTAACATCATACATTTTTAGTCTTAAGAGAATGCAAGAACATTGAGTTATAACCTCCAAGTGCTGCACTAAATACTGCTTTAAAAAAACAAAACTTTTTTTTTCTTACCTTGAACATATCTTTACTATTTTGTTTTTATTTATTCCCATTCTCTCCCCTCCCCCCTCTAGCAATACAGCCCTCTCCTTGCTGCCTTTACTACACAAGGTCAGTCAGAACTGACTTTGCTTTTGAAAATTCAGGAGTACTGTTATGACAACATTCACTTCATGAAATCCTTCCAGAAAATTGTGGTGCTTTTTTATAAAGGTAAGTCACATGCCGCTGCTAGTTTTGGCATCTTACTTGCTTTAATGGACCGATTCCACGATGGTAAAATAACAAATGATTGTTCCCATGTAACCGTAAATGTCCAAATTAGCATTTTTTTTTTTTTGTGTGACTAGTAAATGCCAATTCTTCTCTTGCAGCTGAAGTTCTGAGTGAAGAACCCATTCTGAAGTGGTACAAAGAGGCACACATTGCAAAGGGAAAAAGTGTCTTTCTGGAGCAAATGAAAAAATTTGTTGAATGGCTTAAAAATGCAGAAGAAGGTTAGTTTTCTGTAGCATTGGTGATCACTGTGTAAGGACTTGTATATTTTTTTTTAGACCGAATTCTGTTCAAACATGGGCAGAAATCTCTACCTAAATGCAGATGTTGTAACTTGGCGTTCTTAGTGGGGGGCCAAACTGGGCAATCCAGTTAAGGACCATCTTGGCACTAGAACTTCATCACTGAGGAGGAGGTCCCATGCATAGTCTTACCTTAAGGAGTTAACCTGTTAATGTTGAGTCAGCTGACACTTAGTCTATCATTGGGTCTCTATTGAGAAATGTATGTGGGGGGTGGGGGAAGGTAGACTTCTTTGTGGGAAGCGAGGAAGTAAAGGTGCTGTTTGGTTGCCATAGTTCACTTTGGGGTTAAACTGTGAATTTTATTTTATTTTTTTGTCCTGTTATCCTTCTGTCATTAACTATTCCTTATCTATCTTTTTTTTTTTTTTTATTTTTTTTTTAGAGTCTGAATCCGAGACGGAAGAGGGTGATTAATTTGTCATTGGTGTCAGTAAACACAGGAGCTGTAGATAAACGGTCATAACCCATTTTGTGTCCTTCTGGTTATTACATCCTACCTCCTGTATCAAGCATGATATAAGGGCTTTCATCAATATTTTTTTTTTTTTTATTTCTAATTTTCTGTACATCAATTTTTGTTTTAAAACCATGTTTTAAGGAACAAGCTGTCTAGATTAATTTTTATTTCATCATTGTTATCCTCAACCGGCTGTATTTTCTACTGTAATAATGTAATTTAAAGCCTTTCAAAAATTCAACAATTTGTTTTATCCCCTGGTTTTTCTATTAAAAATAAAGCTTAAAATCACTATGATTTGTTATGGACCCACCAATTTACAAATTAAACATTGTATTCGAAAGAACTTCTGCAGTGACTTGTGCATTTTTGTTTACACATCCTGTATGCTTTGCATGATTTCTGTGGTGGCGCTTTCTCCCCCCACCCCCATTCATTTGACCTAAAGTGCCACTTCACCATAACTTGTCTCAAGGCACATTAGATGCATATGATTTTGTAGCGATTTGTCAAAGCAGAGGTGAATGCTGGCCCCTCTAGTGCTTGATGTCAGAGTAGTACTCTTATTGATTTCAAAGGCTTGTAGTGGTGTGCCTATCTCCTGGTAAACTCTTGACATACATAATGGCATGACTGTTGCAAGGCTAATCCTTCATCAGGAAGACAGGGTCCAATTACTCCTTCAATCTACCAGACGTTCCACCTCAAAGTTGTACATGATAATTTGGCGAAATTTATACATTGGTGTAAGTCAACATCAATGTCTTCAAGTACATCCTTCAGGATGGAATTTATAAAGGGCTGGGTATTTCCACTTTGAAAGTCCAACTATCTGCATTGAGTTTTTTTTCTAGTGAAGGATTTAGCGTTGCATGTTCTAATCAGGAGATTCTTCAAAGCAGTAAGACTTCATAGACCATCCAGGAAGTCATATTTTCCCTCCTGGGATATTTCTTCAGTCCTGCAAGCGCTCTGTGAATCTACTTTTGATCCTTTGGAGAATGTCCCATTGAAGAATCTAACACTCAAGACTGCCTTCTTGGTGGCCATCACCTCTGCCAAAAGAGTAGGTGAACTTCAGGCTCTTTCTTTATCGGACGAATTCATTATATTCCATCAAGATAAGGTAGTGCTCCATCCTAAGCCTTCATTCCTTCCGAAGATTATCGCTTCTAGAGCTGGTAATCAGCCCATCGTTTTACCTTCCTTCTGCAATAATGCCACCTCGACGCAGGAACTAAATTGCATAAACTGGACGTTAGAAGAGCTCTACAGATCTATCTTTCAAGAACTGCTGTTTATAGAAAATCTGATCACCTGTTAGTCAATTTCCAAGGGAAATTTAGAGGGGAAAGAGCCTCTCGTAATTCTCACGTTGGTTGATTGATACATTCAAGATTGTGTATGCTTCTAGCAACCTTTCTATACCTACTTCTCTTAAAGCACATTCCACAAGAGCAATGTCCACATCATGGGCAGAGAAGTCTCTTGCTTTGCCCGAAGAAATTTGCAAGGTGGCCTCTTGGTCATCCTTCATCAGGCATTACAGACTAGATGTATTCTCATCCTCTGAAGCTGCATTTGGGAGTAAGGTGCTTCAAGCAGTTGTGGTGTATTGCCCACCCAGTGCAAATCTTGCTATATCCCACAGGTACCACCACAATATGCCAGAAAAATCACATTTTTACTTACTGTAAATTCTCTTAATATGGTGGCAGTACAATACTCTGAATTAAAAATGTATTTGACTTGTGTGGTGTGTTTTCTTACTACAACTGAGGTGGGTTTGCAGGGGGAAACCCTTTATGGGAATAAAGGGGAGGGACTTTTAATTAACTCCTATCTTGTAGATGCTTGTCTCAATTAAGGAGGCACAACTCACAGGTACTACCACCATATTAACAAAACAAAAAAATTTACGGTAAGTGAAAATTTCTTTTTTTTTTTTTTTTCTTACACAAGGTTTTTCTGTAGAGGTCATGCAGATTCACCTGAAGTGTTTTTTTTGTTTTGTTTTTTTTGTCAGAGGAAACACAAATCTTCAATGGTTGAAACGACCAATGACTATTCAGAACTCTTATCTGTCTCCTCCAACTGTTTTTGCTTCTTTAAGGGTGGAGGAAATACAGATTCTGGCTTGTGAGCAGTATCTGCCTGTAGTGAAGACTGGTGGCTGCTCTTATGTCTTATCCAGCAAACTATTCTGGAACCATGTGAGGAAGGAGAATACTGCAGCCCTTTTTGCTTCTTTAGAACAATTCCGACACAATTTCTAGTAGCCATCTGTCATAGGCTGAGAAAATGCAGAGCAAATTAAGTGGTGTTTAGTATTAGAAAGGCACTTTCCTTTTTCTCCACAGATTTAGCTGCTGGTTCAGTAAGACATACTGAAGGACAAAACAAAGTTACTAAAACTAATTTCAGGTAGGATCAAAAAAAGTAATTAAAGGGACACTGTAGGCAACCAGACCACTTCAGCTTAATGAGGTGGTCTGGGTGCAGTGTTCCTTTTGTATCTAGTGCTGCAATGTATCACATTGCAGCACTAAGTCTGCCCTCAGTGGCTGTCTACCAGACAGCCGGTGGGGGCTTTTCCGGATACGTAATGGACTTTTGGTCTGTTATCTGACGCTGGACGTCCTCACGCTCTGCATGAGGACTTCCAGCGTCATATTTTTTTCCCCATAGGAAAGCACTAATTCAATGCTTTCCTATGGGGAGGTCTAATGCACGTGCAGCATTTGCCACGCATGCACATTAGACCCCGCTCATCGCAAGGGAGGGGGAAGACAGAGGATTCGGTAGTGCCAGGAATACAGCTTTGTATTCCTGGCACTACAGTATCTCTTTAATGGCCTCTGTGTGTGCTGGAGGGTTGGTGAGAGCACACTGCAGCAGTACTGCAAGCACCTTGCACACAGGAAGTTGCTGCTGGGTTTTAAATCATCCAAGGTCCTGGAATCAGTTGGGGGAAAAAAAAGAGAAGAAAAAAAAAACAAATTCTGAAATCGCTCCGCAATCTCCCAGTGGGATAGAACTCATCTGTGTGTTCCACTGCTAAAACCTCCCAGCCTGTGCGCATTGCGCACCTTTGCCATTTCCAGCAGTGCCTAGGGATATACGCAGGCACCCAGTGTGTGTTCCGCCACAGTAAGAGGAGAGAGCAAGACCTGCTACACGTCTTCAAGTCGGTGGGACAGAGCCCTCCTCTGCTGCAGCCGACTCATCACGTCCCTTCCAAAAAAAGAAGAGAGTGCCAGCTTCCTAACAGGCAGAGATCTGGGATTATGGATTACAGCAGTTTAAAGGGACACTATAGTCACCTGAACAACTTCAGCTTAATGAGGTTGTTCAGGTGAGAACTATAGCTCCCTGCAGCCTTTCTCATGTAAACACTGTATTTTCTGAGAAAATACAGTGTTTACATTGAAAGCTAGGAACACCTCTAGTTGCAGTCACTCAGAGTGAACCAGAGGGACTTCAGAGTCGATGGAGGCTGTCAACAGAGCACAGGGCAGCACTGTGCACAGGAGTCTCCTCCCTCTGCATGCAGACACTGAACTTTCCTCATAGAGATTCATTGATTCTATTTATCTCTATGAGGAGATGCTGATTGGCCAGGGCTGTGTTTGAATCATGCTGGCTCTGCCCCTGATCTGCCTCCTTGTCAGTCTCAGCCAATCCTATGGGGAAGCACTGTGATTGGATCAGGCTATCACATGTCAGCAGACTGCTTGTTTTTCCTGAGTCTAACAGCATGCAGATTTACAGTTTCTTCCTTTAGTACAGTAAGATTTTTACTATATTTATGGAGGCATGAGGTGCCTAGAGGGGCTAGATGGTGGTGTTAACACTATAGGGTCAGGAATACATGTTTGTGTTCCTGACCCTATAGTGGTTCTTTAAGATTTACCTAAAAGGGGTGGAATTTAATGAAGAGCTGAACGTATTTTTTTTTTTTTCTTCTTAATGTATTTGCTCAATTATAGGATGACTCTGATAGACATACACAGGCACAAAGTTACACATGCAGATACACATATAGAGACAAACACATACAGGGGCACACATGAACACAAGATATACAGATACACTGAAACATACTGTATTTTTAACATATGCGTTTAAAAAAAAAACACTTTTCTGATCAAAGTATTATTGAAATTTTGAGACCCTGATCAAAAAAAAGTTATGTTTTAACAATTAGAGGAAATCCCTGGAGTGCTATTAGTGTATGTAGATTTTGTATGTGTTGTCTAGCTGTGAGTGTTCCATTAAACTCTTCATGCTGAAAGAATGGGCAGGATGTCTGATGGAATAGGAGTGTGGTCAGCCTTCTGGCAGTATGAGAACAGGGAAGAAGTCAGCTTCAGAATCAGTGTCAGCACCATGACAGTGTGGGCATGGCTCCTGTGTGAGACCATGGAGTGACCTGCGCGCAAAATGCATTAGTTATTCGCACGGTGCTTGGGTCTGCCCTGGGTTTTGCTGCTGGTCGCCATATTGTGCCAGGGGAGCACTGCTCAGCACCTTTTCTCCGGGTGTTTGTGAGAGGTAATTATGGGATGTGATCAGAGTGTGTTTGTGCAATGTGCTCACGTAGCAAGTGCTTGTTAGTCCAATTCTGCGGGTGTTATACATTTGGTATAAACTACATTTAAACACTGTTTCTGATAAAAAAAATGTCGAGTCATCCTTTATTACACAGGCATAAAATTCCAGCTAAAATGTCTGATTATAAGACAAGGTTGTTTTTGTTTATTTTTTTGGGGAAAAACCTTGTCTTATAATTGAGCAAATATGATAAGTTTAGGTGTTAGGCCTTTCTGGTCCAGATTACAGGGTCCCAGTTGTTGGGCACTGCCTCTAATCTGTTTATTTCCATTCATAGTAGAAACCAATGCTCAGTATACTTAGCCATACGCTACCCCATCCAAGGACACCACTACAGGCAAATACTATTTCCAACTAGCATAGCGCAAGCACATCATTAGATGCAATTGCAGTGTGTTTTAGGATCACTGAGAGATTGCTTCCGCAGTGCTCTCTGCAAAGTCTGCCCGGAGGGAGGATGTCCAGAATGCCAACATGCTCCTTCTGTCCAGCATGCTCCTTCCAAGGTGGGCCACCCGTTTTTCTTATCATTAATGTACGTGGAAGATTTTGTCAGGACCTCTATGATACCATATTCAGCAGGTCATTTATATGAATTATTTCACATATAAAAGTCTATCAAACTAATAAACTGCAGAACTGGACCTTTTTAATTTTCTAAAAAAACTATTGAAAGAAAAGTAAACAAAATCAAGTTTTTGTCAATGCCTTTGGACAGTATAAAAAAAAAAAGTAGTTGAAAAGAATTGCAGATTGGTTTCATGTAGATATATATGTAAAAAATAAAATGGCAAAAAAATGAAAACAATGAAAACAGAATTCGAAATATTTTATAGTACTGAAATATTTTATATACTGCTAATATCCTTACAAAAATAAAGATCTGTACAGATATTCATTTTGTTTCTGAGGAAAGAAACTTAAGTAACGTTTTTGCCACATAATCTCTGAACGCTTGCAGATTCCTTTGAAGAATTGGTTCTTGAGAAATATGGCAAACTGTAAATACGGTCACTTGTCCGGGCAAATAATTAAGAATGCCACATTTACTTACAAGCAAAAAAAAAAAAAAAAAGAAATAATGAACTCTTGCATTTCACTGGTTTAGGACTCCTTGTCTTCCATTTCTAAGAAGTCTGTCAAGGTTCCTAAATCAAGAGGGATTAACAAATATTCCACTCCATCTGCACCCTATAACAATAAAAAAAAAAAAAAAAACAACATAAATGAGATGCAGTAGTAAAATATATAAAAAATGATTATATATATATATATATATATATACATACATACATATATACACACACACACACACACACAATTTGTTGGTGTTTTGCACTCCTGCTTTCCTCTTGGTTAAATGCCCGGTGCTCAGCTGCACAAAAATACAATCTGCCAAATTCAAAAAACAAAACTGCTTCAAAAGCCAAGTTGCTTTTTATGACTCGATTAAGCTAACGTCTTTGTGGTGCTTATAATGGCCCTTTAGGAAGGCTGAACTTGACGTACGCATGTTTCTTTGCAACTACGTAACCATGTAAACTGCTCATTTTGTACTTGTACTGAGGCTGGACATGATTGGTGGAAAGGGCAAAAAGCAGTGTGGATAAACCCTCCATTACTCTAAACATCCACAATTTATTTGCAAGCCCACACAATTCACTATGGTTTGTGAACGATCTCTCAACTTCATCTAGAGAGTACCTCCTCGACATATAGAATGCACTGCCAACTAGAAAAGAAGTGGTGGAAGTTTCCCTTCCAACTACAAGAGGCAGTTTACAGACTTTGTTGGAGGACATTCGTAAAACAATTACTTTAGCTATTGTCCTTATTAAAGAGGAGCTTATCAGCTTACAGGCAGACTAAAAGCGGCGAAAGACGACCAGACCAACCTACTTATGCATTGTTTTTTTTATTTTTTTTACTCGACTTAAAAGTAATGCAGTTTCTTTCCTATACTATTGGCCCTAGGCAGTTTTCCCACCCCATCCCATCAAACATCTACTATGATGACATTTCTCGATAAGAGTCATCAATATTGTTTCAAGAGGAATATATTACCTATTATCTCCCTCCGTCGCCAAATAATCTAATCATTTTTGTTATGCGTGATATAAATATGCACTATTTTATAAGATATGATATGATACAAGATAAAACACGCTGGAACATGTTAGAAAGATATTGATACACACTTTTTCCTATTCTTTTCTCTTCATATATTGGTCACCCCCCTCCCTCTCTAGATGAAACAAACCCCTTTTTCCATTACTCTACACCCTCCCAATTAATTTCCCCACACTACATGTACATTTCCCAACCCATTTTTCAATCCATTCCTATGAATGTCCCCCCAACCTTCAAATACAGGGAGATATTTATTATTTCTTTAATTTTCTCCTGCATTTTGTAGTGGCATAGTGAATAACGCACCAATCTTTTGCAGACTACTGACTTACTAGGCATGCAATAAACGTGAAGTTTTAGTTCATCTCACAATAAGCAATGACACACAAATTAATAAAACTTACCTTCAGCTGACTTATAATAAACGCTATGAAATCAAATTACCTTTTTTGTGCGGATCAGCTTGTGATCTCTGAATTCAGTCAGCTGAGCCCTTAGTGTTAGGTCACTGTTTACAAGGAAGGCTTCTCTGCATTGCTGGTAGAAATCTTGAAATGAAAGGCCTGCAGAAGAAACAAAAACACTGTAAGAATGCAATAACTGTGTGAACGTACACTGATCAGCCACAACATTAAAACTAGGGATCGACCGATATTGATTTTTTTTTAGAGCCGATATCGATAATCTGTCAACTTTCAGGCCGATAGCCGATAATTTGCCAATATTCTGTACATTTACCATTTAAAAAAATAAACCATTTCTAAAGGTAAATGCACAAAATATACATGCCACATGTAGTGGATGCAGTGTATTTAGACAGGGGAGCTGTGTGTGTTTGTGTAGTGGATGTAGTGTGTATTTGTGTAGTGTGTATATAATGAATGCATAGTGTGTTTGTGTAGTGTGTATATATAGTGAATGCAGAGTGTTAGTTTGTGTAGTGTGTGTATAGTAAATGTAGTGTGTGCATATATAATGAATCCAGAGTGTCAGTTTGTGTAGTGTGTGTATAGTGAATGTAGTATGTGCATATATAATGAATGCAGTGTGTGTTTGTGTAGTGTGTGTGTATAGTGAATGCAGTGTGTGTATATAATGAATTGCCGAAAATACCGAATATCGGCCAGACCGATAATCGTTCGATCCCACCTGCTAATATCGTGTAGGACATCCTCGTACTGCCAAAACAGCTCTGATGTGTCAAGGTATGGACTCCACAAGAACTCTGAACTTGTCTTGTTACATCCGGCACCAAAACATTACCAGCAAGTCCTGCAAGTTGCGAGGTGGGGTCTCCATGGATTGGATTTGTGGCTCTAGCACATAGCACAGATGCTCAATCAGATTGAGATCTGGGGAATTTGGAGGCCAAGACAACACCTTGAACTCTTTGTCATGTTCCTCCAACCATTCCTGAACTATTTTTTAAGTGTGTCAGGGTGCATTATCCTGCCAAAAAAGGCCATTGCCATCAAGGAACACCACCACTGCCATGAAGGTGTTGTACATGGTAGGTGGTACATGTCAAAGTAACATCCACATGAATGCCAGGATAAAAGGATTCACAGCAGAACATTGCTCAGAGCATAACACTGTCTGTCAGCCTGCCTTCTTCCCATTGTGCATCCTGCTACCATCTCTACCCCATGTAAACTATGCATATGCACTTGACCATATACCTGATCTAAAAGAAAAGCGTGATTCATCAGACCAGACAACCTTCTTCCAATGCTCCATGGAAACACCCTCAGCTATATAATACGTACATAAGATGTACAGAGCGAAGTGTTAAAAGCTGTTTTTAAATTAGATGTAATTGGGAAGAGTTTCTCGATGTACCTGAATAAGAAGGGTTGTCTTTATTAGCCAACTGATACTCTGCAAGCAGCCGGAAAATACCTCTGGAAACACAAGACATATATAGGATTAACTTTCTACCAGTTAGGAAATAAAAAATACAACCAGATCATTGTTCAAGTGATACTCCAGGCTGAAAATGGCCCATTTGGATTTAACTAATGACTGATAAAACATATTCGATTGTGGTGTCAAAACTGCCATTTCAAGACACAATTTCTTTTTTTTTTTTTATTAAAAAAAAAAAAAGTCCGGTTTCTGAAGACTCCGATTTTGTGCAGCACAGTAAATTAATGAAAGGAAGAATTGCCATGCTGTTCAACAGACACAAATATAAGAAAAGAAAAAAAATCCTAGAAAAACCTACAATATGTTTTCCTTTTTTCTCTGTTCTTTTCTACCCCCTTCTCCCTCTTTTCTATCTACCCATCTTTCCTATACTACTGTTATTTATTATTTCTTGGAACACAATGCATAGAACATTTATTGTATGGCCACTGTTAATGTCATACTTCCTAATGCTCTTTTAATAACAATGATGAAATCATGCAGGACTGAATTAGTGTTAGGGTTGAAACAAATATGAAAGAGGACAAAGTTTTACCTGGCATTGGGGGTGAGGCTGCGCATCACATGAGTGAGGGAGCTGAGAGCCAGTGCTCCGGTGCGTTTCACCAGCAGTGAGTTCTCGTAGGATGTCTCTTCTATATAGGAACTATAAGTAGTGGTCTCATACCATAACCAATTATACAGACTCTGTTTAGACTGGTCCCACACTGATGAAGGAGAGAAAAAAAAGATAATTATGTAAGTAAAAGCTATTCGATTTCCTTACTATGCATTAACATGCTGGTAGAATGCTCTGCTGTAAAGAAAGAAAAAAAAACAGCACACACACACACACACTGTGACTGTGATCAGCCACAATATTAAAACCAGCTGCCCAATATCGAATATGTGTCCCCCTCGTCTTGCCAAATCTGCTTTTGTCCTGTGATATCTGGCACCAAGACATTAAGAGCATATCCAGGGAACACCATTGCAATGAAGGGGTGTATGTGGTCTCCAACAATCTTTAGGTAGGTGGTACATGTCAAAGTAACATCCACATGAATGCAAGGTGCCAAGGTTTCCCAGCAAACATTGCCCAGAGCATAACACTGCCTCCGCCAGCCTGCATTCAGCCCATCGTGCATCCTGCTGCCATCTATTCCCCAGGTATAACAATGCACATGCATCCATACGATCTAAAAGAATCTAAAAATTCATCATATCAGGCAACCTTCTTCCATGGCTTCAGAGTCCAGTTCTGACACTCACATTCCACTGAAGGAGCTTACAGCAGTGGAAGGGGGGTAGGGGGTTATAATGGTCTGTCAACAGCTACCCAGCCCCACACACAGCAATCTGAAATGCACTGTGTGTGTTCTGACAACTTTCTATCATGGCCAGCATAAGTTTTCAGCAATTTTATTTACAGTAGCTCATCATGTGTGATCGGACCAGTCGGTCTAGCCTTCACTTCCCACATACATCAATGAACCTTGGGCGCCCATAACCTTGATGTTGTTCGTCGTTGCTTTCTTTGTACTTTTTTTTTTTTGCAGGTGAGTTCGCACATCAAAATAAGTATAAGACAGAAATGCAGAGTTGCACAAGGTATAAAACATACATCCTTGTCTTGAAGATAAACCTTTAGATTTTTTTTATGTTTAAATAGACTACAGAAGTAGTTGCACGAGTTACATCTAGAGCTGAGACATGATAACAGATAAAACAAAGCAATAAACGTATCGTTTGTATGAAGGCAAGACTGAATGATGAGAAACTACGGATGCTTGTAGTAAACCTGTGATCTAAAAAAAGAAAAAGTTAGTAGGTTCAGTAACATATAAACTACAGCCAGGCCCCATGAGGATATAGTGAAAAAAAAATAAGGTAATCCCAAAGAAGATCTTTATAACAGTAGATAGACATGTCATTAGCCTGAAAGATAATGCTGCAGGTTAATAAACTACAGAAGCTTGTGTCAACCTGCAGGCTTTAATAAGATATTAGGGCAGGAGACATAGGCTACTTCCAGATACTAATGGGATGATGTAAAATACACATGTCAATCATGTAAAAGCCTTAGCATTAAGTACTTGCTCGTTACAAGATTGATTGTATCACAGACCACCACGGGGACTTATGGAGACATAAGGAAAATCTTATGTGGACTACAAGAAGACCTACGATAGGAAAGTCATGGGATGTTAACTACATGAGGAGCATATTAGGCTATATGCTCTATGGATAAAAGCAAAACATTAGCCCATCTTAAATATATAAAGCACAGCTCCATAAACCCAGAGCTGGGGCAGCGCAAAGAAGTCCATACTTAATAGCATAATTCTCTGGTATTCTAATGACCCATTGAGATTAAGTCATCAACGGCAACGTAAAAACAAAAAACTGCAGCAAATGAAAAACAGATAAAACATGTGAAAAGAAAACATATTCAACATGGATCTGGCCCTGAAGAGCAGGCCCATTGGCTATCTCATTCCCAGTGCTGTAGAGCTAGCAGGTGTGAAGACAGCAATATTATCCATGTCCCACTGGTGGATAGGGCTGATGTTCGAGAGGTGGTAGCGTTAGCCAGCCCCAATGATTGGCAGGAATGAGTCGGCTTTGGACACATAGGTTAGCTGATAACGTTGACCACTTTTCTCAACTATAAGAACCGGTGGGGTCCCTTGCTTATACTGAATATCAGCCACTCTTAGCTAAGAGGTCACTTCTTTCAAAGATGCACGCCACAAAAGCATTGGTCTGTTGAGGTCATGGAAGAAGCTCAATGAGTGTTGCTCAAAAACAAATGGTGAGTGACCTTTAACTTAAAAAACGTTGCAGTCAGATGTATCCTTGGATCAAGCACCTATTACCCTAAATTGAAAAATTATATCCTTGAATATTCTGTTTTTGCATGTATGCATCTAGTTGCTGTTTGAACATCTGTATGGACTCTGACGTTATTTACCATTAAGCATGTACCTGGCAGTGGTTCTATGCTAGTCTGTTAGTTTTCTTTTAACGTTTGCTATCAGTTGCCTACCTTTTTGTTTTTATCACTTAGCTAACACACCATAATCAATTTAGTCTCACAGGGGCCTGCCATATATTTTAGATGTCTACCTGGTGAATTCCCTCATGTTGTTTAGCAATGCATAGCGGAGATGTCATAGTTTATATTGCACCTTTCTTATATACCGTTAACCAGCTGTGGTAACACACTTGACAGTGCAGTATAGCTTGATGCTTATATACAGACACTTTGTGACTAGTAATGTCCCAAACTGTTCGCCGAATGGGTCGCGAACTGTTCGCCACGGACTCCAGTCAGCTGACACATTCCAGCCAATCAGCAGCAGACCCTCCCTCCCAGACCATCCCACCTCCTGGACAGCATCCATTTTGAAGCTGCATTCTTAGTGAGCTGTCCAGGAAGTGGGAGGGTCTGGGAGGGAGGGTCTGCTGCTGATTGGCTGGAATGTGTCAGCTGACTGGGGTCCACGCGAACCGTTCGCGGCGAACAGTTCGGGACATCACTATTTGTGACTATTATATGCAGTATAACATCCTTTTACAATTTGCTACAATTGTGCAGTATTCTAGTCTGAATTTTGAGGTTTCTTTAAGAAAACAAATTGTGCTGTTATTTTAATTTAATGCTAATGTCTTGCTCTGTTGATCTTATTGTGCTTGCTCCTGCTGTTGTGGCATCGCAAGCATTTTTGTTATATTAAATATGCACAACAAAAGTAAAGAATGAAACAAAAAAGTTTCTTTATCATTCCGTGATTTAAAGCACAGGATAACAACTCTGGGTACAGATGTTTTGTTGGTAGGGCTCCCAGGTAGGCGGTAAAGTCCATCCAGTGGTAGTGCTTTGCCTGTTTGGGTGTCAATGTGACAGAATAACCATCTGATAAACTGCGGCAGCTCGCCAGAGTCTATGGTATCAGGGATCCCCATTATTTTCAGGTTGCGTTGCCGTGTAATGTGCTCTAGCTGCCCCACTGCAGCACTTAGCACTTCTAACATGTAAAATTCAAGAACTGACTGTTCACTTGCTGCCTAATACATAAAACCCCTTGACAGGTGCCATTGTAATGATGTAATCAATGTTAATAAATTAAAGCAATGAAAAAAAATAAAAAGCAATATGGCAGTAATACCCCTGGATTCACACCACATGGCTTGTAAATCATTCATCACCCAAAGAAAGTTTAAAGGACTATAGGACGCCCTATCATGGTCATCTGCTGCATCCATCATGGTAAAAATGAAATGTATAAAATACCAAAAAGACAATCACGTACACTCAAGTCAGACTACCACCTACTTTACATTAAATATGTAGCTTATTTTAAAAATACGCCACTTACTGAGAGGAGCATTGATGTGGTCAACAGAGGCAAGGAGGTGGATCCTAGGTACAGACGCTAGATGTGCCAAGACCTGTTGACTTTTGTCCCCTCTTAACATCTGACTGTCCAGATTATGAACAAGAAGGTACAGTTCAAGGGATGGATCTGCAGACAATTCCACAAAAAAAGTGTATATAGGATTAGCATGTTTTAACTATTACTCAGGGATGGCTTTGGATAACGGTCAGTGTAATTGTGAATTTGAAGCCAAAAGAGCACAGCTAGAAAAAAACAGCTGAGTTTGAGAATATTTCCAGTTTAGTTCTCTTGGCTTGATATCTGTAATCCCTTTGTGAAATAAATTAATCTTGTGATTTGGAATGTCTGTGTTCTAACAGGTGTTCTGATGCAAAATATATGGGTTTTTTTGGTTTTGTTTTTTAGAGCAGCCTACTGTGGAGGTGAGGGGAATCTATTCAAAGTTAAAGAAATTAAAAATAATGATTAATCACAGACAAAGTTGGTCAGTGTAGTCAGTGTGGTCTTATTGTTTCTACAGATGAATACTTCAATACTAAATTAATGTCTGTAGGGATTTATTTAGCTTGGAGTGTCCAGATTAGTGGTTCCGTGTGCAGTTTGAAAGTTAAAATATATAAATACTACATATGTAGATGTGCAACGAATACAGTACTGAGAATTTATTATACAACTTAAATCAACTCTGCTAATTGTCATCAAGAAAGTGATTGAGTTATGTTTGAAGGTAATCCTTCATAAAAGCAGATGATCAATGAGATATTACATCACACCTAGAGGAGTGTAAATTGTGTTTTTATGTAATAAAATGTTTATGATAGATAGATGGATAGATAGGATATTTACACACATACAACAACGTTGGATTCATTAGTTGACATAGGTTACCATAAGAATTTAGTTCACTATAATTAAAAGAATCATATATAGCTTAGTGAAGCAGAATCCCCTTTGGTATGCACAACAGGGGTTTAGTTTTTCTACTTACTGTCTTTAAACATCTGTACTATGAATTCCATTTGATCAAGGGGGCTTCGAAATGTCCCAGTGTGTCCAATGGCTTCCTCCGTGATGGAATTTAAAATCTGTGGAAGGAAAAGAAGACAATTCCTGAGAAATCCCTGGAGAAATACAAATTAAATAAAGATCCAAGACAGATCAAATATTGATGTTATTTAGGTGGAACTTTACTTTTAAGGTGTAAGATGCAGCAAAGCTGCAAAAAGTCATACATACGCATTTTAGTTTGCATGCATTTATTCTAGCACAATGTAAAGATTCAATATACAAGTAAGCAAAGGTGACCTTGTTTTGTGGATGATTTAGCAAGTTTAAGAGCTAAAGAGATACAACACTTACAGATTTCACAGTAATACTTGGGAAGAATCCATTGATAACAACATGGAGAGAATCCTGAAGCAGAGATGTTCGGAACTTCTCTATGAGGTTCCGTTTGGATCCCAAGCCAAAGAGAATGATGTTGAATCCAAGGCTGATTGTAGAAATAAAGTAAAATTGTGTTTACAAAATAGCTTAAGAGATAGTACTGCCAGCAAATTCTCCCAGTCACTTGTCATTCAGTTACAGATATGGTTCCCACTTTTACTTTCTGTGTCTTATGTGGTCTAAACTTGGTGCCTCTTATTTAATGCATGAGATTGTCAAATGCCAAGAACCGAGTCTGACTTTGTTGTCAATAAGGAAGCAACATCTAGTGGCTGTCTTTAACAGCTACTTACAGAGTTACATTGCTTGGGTCCATCAAGTTCAGCCTTCCTCACATATGTTTTTACTGTTGACCCAAAAGAAGGCAAAAATCCAAGTCTGAAGCGCTTCCAATTTTGCAATAAACTAGGAAAAACTTCCTTCTTGACCCCAAAATGGCAATCAGATATCTCCTTGGATCAACCAGCTATTACCCCACTAATTAAAAATTATACCCCTGTATATGTTATGTTTTTGGAAGTATTTATCCAATTGCTGTTTAAACATCTGTATGGACTGATAAAACCACCTCCTCAGGCAGAGAATTCCATATCCTTATAGTTCTTACTGTAAAAAAACCTTTTCTTTGCCTTAGATAAAATCTCCTTTCTTAAAGGACCACTCTAGGCACCCAGACCACTTCAGCTTAATGAGGTGGTCTGGGTGCCAGGTCCAGCTAGGGTTAACCCATTTTTTCATAAACATAGCAGTTTCAGAGAAACTGCTATGTTTATGAATGGGTTAAGCCTTCCCCCTAATCCTCTAGTGGCTGTCTCATTGACAGTCACTAGAGGCGCTTGCGTGCTTCTCACTGTGATTTTCACAGTGAGAGCACGCCAGCGTCCATAGGAAAGCATTGTAAATGCTTTCCTATGTGACCGGCTGAATGCGCGCGCAGCTCTTGCCCCGCGTGCGCATTCAGCCGCATGGGAGGAGAAGAGGAGGATCGGAGGAGGAGAGCTCCCCGCCCAGCGCTGGAAAAAGGTAAGTTTTAACCCCTTTCCAGAGCCGGGCGGGAGGGGGACCCTGAGGGTGGGGGCACCCTCAGGGCAATATAGTGCCAGGAAAACGAGTATGTTTTCCTGGCACTATAGTGGTCCTTTAAAGCCAAAATGCGTGACCTCGTGTCCTATGTATAGCCCTGTTTATGAATAGATTTCCAGATAACAATTTGTACTGGCCCAGAAAATATTTGTATAATGTTATCATATCCCCACTGAGGCACTGTTTTTCCAAACTAAAGAGATTTTAATTTTTTAACCTTTCTTCGTAATTAAAATGCTTCATTCCTTTTAACCTTTCTTCGTAACTAAAATGCTTCATTCCTTTTATAAATTTTGTACCTCGTCTTTGCACTTTTTATAGTGCCATGATATCCTTCTATAGAACAGGTGCCCAAAATTGCACAGCATATTCAATGTCTGGTCATACCAGCGATTTATAAAGAGTCAAAATTATATTTTCATCCCGAGAATTTATTCCCCTATTTATACATGACAAAACCTTACTGATCTTAGCAACTGCAGATTGACATTGCATATTGCTGTCTAATTTGTTATCTATAACAATTCCCAAATCTTTCTCGTGTGTGGTTACCCCTAATTCACTACCATTTAGGGTATAAGTTGCTTGTGCATTCTTGACCCAGAAGTGCATAACAACTCATTGTACTCTATCCTTAAGCCAATGTTCTACCCAAAAACAAGAATATTCATCTAGACCAATTTCATTTAGTTTGAAGACTAACCTATTGTGAGGAACTGTATCAAATGCCTTGGCAAAATCCAAGTAGATCACATCCACTGCAACACCCTGATCTATACTTCTACTTACTTCTTTATTTGACATGACCTATGTTTCATAAAACCATGCTGATTATTGTTAATAACAAAGTTCTTCCCGATGAATTCCTGAATATTATCCCTTAGACTAGAGGTGTGTTCAGCCCTGCAATGTAAACATTGCCTTGTCTTCTAGATGGCAATGTTTTACATTGCAGAAGAAAAATACCAGTGGTAGTGCACACAGACCAATTCATTGAGATTAAGTGATCTGGGTTCCTATGGTGTCCCTTTAATGGAAATTTAGCAACACTTAAAACAGTTACACTGACATACTGCCATATTTCAAAAACAGCTTTGAATCACTATAAAATTATGGACTTAGGCATTCGTCAGTATAAACATTTCCGTCTTTTCCGTAAATTATCTTGGTGAGCAGAAAAGGTTTTTCACCTTGTAAATAAGTAAAGCTATCAAGACAATAAGGAAAAGCAGAGCAATTATGAGAAGTGCAAAGCCCGCGCAGTCTGCTGGAGGCAGTTTGGAATAGAAATTATTAGCAGCCCAAATCCATCACATAAACACATTAACAACATTATCAAATCAACTCACTGCATCTGTAGCATCCATTTATAAAACAGAGCCTCATGCTGCTTGTTCAGGCTTTCAATTTCACCAGCAAACGCTGAGGGTGACTGTTCAAGAAGCTTCCGCAATGTCTCCTGTGGATGCAAACAATTTGATTATTAGGAGGTCATAGTGTACACAAGGTTTAAAATGATTTGAAGTGCAAAATTCTGGAATTCAAACATGAATATTACAGAAAGGAATGAGGAAATAAGACAGAGTTGATAGATTAGCTCTAAAACTGGAAAAAGGAATTCACCAAATCCTAAAAAACAGATACACCATAAAATATAGTGTGGTGATCAGGGAGCTAACACAAATATAAAAGGGATAAAATACAAGTGATAAATAATTGGTTAATAAATAAGAAAATCCAAAGTAGTATAAAAGTCCTTGGTGAAATGTCTATAACATAAGCAGGAAAGTCCAAAATAATATAAAAGTGCTTGGTGGAATACCTATAGCATAAGTGACCCCTAACCCTGCTTGTGAAAACAACGCAGGGCTGATGGTACTGATGTCAGATAATGTAATTATATATATATATATATATATATATATATAAATAAATACAAAAGATAATTATGATATGTAGCAGAGCATATCAGTATAAGGAACTGATTGCTCAATATTGAAATGCAATAGTGTCACAGTATTGAAAAAGTAATTGGAAATGTAAATAAAGCCGATAAATTTATTACAAATATTCCCAAGTATATATCAGAGCCGCATACAGAGACAATAAAGCAGAACTACCAGTGGCCAAACATTTCCTGTCATTAGGTCATCCTCTGTCATCATTGAAATGTATGGCTATTGACCACATACCCCCATCTCTGTGAGGGGGAGACCGCAGCAAGCTACTCTTACAAAGAGAGACATTTTGGATCAGAACTCTTGATACAGTATGGCCTAAAGGCCTCAACGAGAAAGTATCATTTGCTATGTTCCTTTAAATATGATGACTTAGACAATGTAGCCTAACAATGAGAAAATAGTATTTTCAACGGCCCTTATGTTCTCAATTTAATATTTAAAATATATGTGTCGTTTTCTAATCCATGCCTCTTGAAGTCTATGATTCTTTAAATATATTGACGTGGAGTTTATTATGTTACTTAATAACTAGGAGAGCGCACTATTCCCAATGACTATGATTTGCAGTAATTTCTATTCAACCACATAAATGCAATATATATTGGTCGAGTATACATCAAGCTGGGGCATTGTTTTATAATGATTGTTTCTCTATCACTGACTTCTAGAAGTTTTCATATATGCTTTTTAGCCCTTTAGCAATTTTCTCTAATGCACATAATGTGAAGTTGTCTCCCACTTTCCTTTTACATGCTCTACCTGTAACTTTTTTTCCCCTCCCCCCTCCTATTCTTGTAGGGCACGGGCTTCTCCATTTTTCTACAGCAGCAACTGTATCTAAAAACTATACCTGCATGTTCTGTTCATTTATTAATGTTACAGAATAATATACACCGTTTCTAATATCCAAGAGGTATATATTGTTAGCTTGTCATAGATCTGATGACTACAATGTTTGTTACAAGTTTTGATACGGATTACTCAACAATGTACAGTCATTCTATGCAAGTCTATTTATACTGCCGCTCGCATGTATCTTCCACTCAGCCTTTCAACTAGTGTGCTTTGGAGACCTGCTCTGGTCTATTTTATCTTTCACTGTATTCACATATGAAACATTGGTGGCAGTGAGCCTTTCCCAGCAGCAGCATACTTTGCTGGTGGAGGATTATTGCTCCTGCAATCCTTTTTTACGAGCAGCCGATCGGCAATATGCTGTGTGTTCCAGCCGTTGCCTAGCAACCATGGAACGCTAACAGCATGGTAACCGGACAGATTTTTCGGCAGATCAGGCTGATCGTCTTTCTTCTCGTTGATTTTAGCAGGTACTGCTCCTGACTCATATGATGATGGTGAGCACTTAACCATTTTGTATATATTATGCACTGTTATGTCTGTATATGTCATATTTGTCATCCTGAAGAAGGCTCCAGATGTGAGCCGAAACATTGATGTTATTTTATCATTTTTTGATGAATTAAAATTTATATTTTAACTACATTATAAAGACCCTGGAGTGCTCTCCGTTTATTTGGATTTCTACTAATTTTGCTGGATCAGCACCGGGCAATAGCAGCAGTTTTCACCAGGAGTGCAAGCATATTGGATATTTTATATATATATAAAACAAGAGGGGGTTGGCTGCACTCACCTTAACATGCATAAATGGGGGTGCTGCTGGGGGCCAAATAATACAATACACAAGATCCAGCGCACTCACCTATCCACTAAACAGCAACTTCAATGTTGAAAGATTTTATTTGTTTTTTCTTAAGTGAGTGCGCTGGATCTTGTGTATTGTATTATTTGGCCCCCAGCAGCACCCCCATTTATGCATGTTAAGGTGAGTGCAGCCAACCCCTCTTGTTTTATATATATTTGGGAGTCTAGCCAACTCCTTGGTTTTGCACCCCTCCCTGTCACAGGTGCCTCATCCCAGGGCCCTATTTAGCCTTGTACTGCAGAGAGCCCCAGATGGAATTTTTCCCCAAGTAGGTTAATCTCATAAGAGCAGACATTAGGCTGTTAGTGTAGGACCTGCCAATGATGGGGTACATTGACGTTGTGGCAGGCTTATGCAATGTATGATCATATAATGTAACTAAACCCCCATTATTTTTGCCTAGATTAGGTGTTTTTAAGAAAAAACAAATAAAATCTTTCAACATTGAAGTTGCTGTTTAGTGGATAGGTGAGTGCGCTGGATCTTGTGTATTGTATTATTTGGCCCCCAGCAGCACCCCCATTTATGCATGTTAAGGTGAGTGCAGCCAACCCCCTCTTGTTTTATATATATTTGGGAGTCTAGCCAACTCCTTGGTTTTGCACCCCTCCCTGTCACAGGTGCCTCATCCCAGGGCCCTATTTAGCCTTGTACTGCAGAGAGCCCCAGATGGAATTTTTTTCCCAAGTAGGTTAATCTCATAAGAGCAGACATTAGGCTGTTAGTGTAGGACCTGCCAAAGATGGGGTACATTGACGTTGTGGCAGGCTTATGCAATGTATGATCATATAATGTAACTAAACCCCCATTATTTTTGCCTAGATTAGGTGTTTTTAAGAAAAAACAAATAAAATCTTTCAACATTGAAGTTGCTGTTTAGTGGATAGGTGAGTGCGCTGGATCTTGTGTATTATATATATATATATATATATATATATATATAGTTATATTATCTGACATCAGTACCATCAGCCCTGTGTTGTTTTCACAAGAATGGTTAGGGTTACTTATACTAAAGGTATTCAACCAAGGACTTTTATATTATTTTGGATTTCCCTGCTTATGTTATAGATATTTCACCAAGGACTTTTATACTACTTTGGATTTTCTTATTTATTAACCAATTATTTATCACTTGTATTTTATATCTATTATATTTGTGTAAGCTCCTGGATACCCACACTATATTTTATGGTATACTATATCTATACTTGAAATTATATGAATTCTTTTAAATTTAGCAGCACCATTAGCAGAGCTGTTGTTCGTCAACTGGTTCCTGCAACTGCTTCAAAGAAAACAAATAATGGTGTGGGTAACAGAGCAGCCAAGTGTGCTGCAAATTACCAGAGAGAATAAGAATGAGGCCATTCCACTAAATTTACAGGTGGCTCACCCATGTATACTGAAATGTACATAGTATCTTAATATATCTCGTCCTGTGAGGTTTTTCCTAGAGCATGGACAAGACAGGGACCAGACCTCACATGAGTTCCAGCATTGTGATTCGCTTAATTTAAGTGTAAGTACAGTGCTCACGTAAGTGGACCAACATTGTGTTGACAGTACTATAGGAAGTGACAGTAAGAAAATTAGATACTTTATATACCTGATCTAATTTTGGAGTTTGAAGTTTCTGCAGTGTCCGATCTGAAGTGAAAACCTTTGAACTGCTGTGAGCTTCAAAATATTCTTCTACCAAATTGTTCTGCAAAACACAAGAAGTGCAATTTAGAGTTTGAAAACGAAGAAGGAAAAAAAAACACAACAAGTAAAACGCCTAAAAAATTCAATAAATGTGTGAATAGCAATTTACACTAGATGCAACACAACAGTGTGCTTTCCCAGCTTTCATTCAGCGATAATGTCACACATCCGTAGAAATTGGTTTATCAAGAGCATTGCAGAACAGGTAAGTCTACATAAAGTAATTTAAAGGGTTACTCCAAGCATCATAATCTGTGTAGCAGCAAGATTTCAATGTGAGCCCCTGCAGCAGAGGGGGATCAGTACTCTGTTATGCAAGCTGTCCTGTGAGTTATAATGGCTGCAGGGAACATTAAAAATAGTATTCTGATAACTTGTCATAATATGATTTAGCAGCATAGAAGGAAATAATCCCTCTCATACTGCAATTGTAAAGTGCAGAGAGCTATAAGGGATTCCCTCTGCGGATATCAAATACCTGGGTAATCCCAATCCTACCCTAATCCGAACACTATTGATAGGATTAGGGTTATAAATAAGAAAACAAGAGAGCGTGATCTGTCCTAATAGCATCATTAATCTAATAAAGATGACAAATATAAAATATAACATTTAATGGGTATCGTTAAAAAAGGGGGGTGGGAAAAGGGGGAGGGGGAATTACAATTTATTTATTTTTATCGCGTTTTTAAGCACTGTCTCAAGGTTTACTGCTCCTATATATCTTATATCTAATCAGCGACCATTACTTATACTTTAACTTTGCTAACCTTCAAATATTCAGCAATGTACCCTGTATATATACTGCATTCTACTTATCCCACCCTTTATACTGCTTTTTCTATGCACTGTCATTATATTCACTTTTGCTAAATAGATATACTAAAAGGCATTTATCCCCCGGTCTAGATTCTGATTTATCTAGACATGTAGGCGATATTCCCCTTTTATTAGGATTTACTTACCCCCTTGTTTTCTTTCTAGTTTGCCACACACAAGATATATTGTAGCTGTACTGATTATTGCTACAGATTGCTACTTTTTTCTACTCAGTTGCATTTCCTATCTAGGGACTCGATCACATTGTTACAATTCTCATTACAACATATCACTTGTAGGGCAATCTAGATACCAGTATATTTACACTTTATTCTTAGTGATTTTCTACCAATTAGATACTTTCTACTATATAGTAATTGTATAGCGAATTTTTATTAATTCCCCCATTTTTTCCCCCGTGTTTTGAGGTTATTACCTTTTTTAACGATACCCATTAAATGGTATATTTTATATTTGTCATCTTTATTATATTAGTGATACTATTAGGACTGATCATGCTCTCTCATTTTCTTATTTACAAGTCTCAACAAAGGTTATCCCCAGTGTCTGTCCTTGACACTTCTCATATATCTTAAGCTTCCTACATGTTCTCTTTTAGGATTAGGGTTATGATTAGAGTTAGGTTAAGGATAATACTTTAGAAAATCCCCACATTCTTGTCCTCTCAGGGACTGATGTGGCTAGTCAGTTGGATATTGCCAGAAATTTCCTGGGCTTGTATCCTTATTTCTATATAACATATGAAATGCTAGAGGGTTCTATACTAAGAACTCTCCTGTCTGGTATGTGACAGCTACTACACAACTAATGTTCCAATAAAGTATTAGCAGAGTAAACACAAATTACGTTGGTGCTTAAAGGGACACTATAGTCACCTGAACAACTTTAGCTTAATGAAGCAGTTTTGGTGTATAGAACATGCCCCTGCAGCCTCACTGCTCAATCCTCTGCCATTTAGGAGTTAAATCCCTTTGTTTATGAACCCTAGTCACACCTCCCTGCATGTGACTTGCACAGCCTTCCATAAACACTTCCTGTAAAGAGAGCCCTATTTAGGCTTTCTTTATTGCAAGTTCTGTTTAATTAAGATTTTCTTATCCCCTGCTATGTTAATAGCTTGCTAGACCCTGCAAGAGCCTCCTGTATGTGATTAAAGTTCAATTTAGAGATTGAGATACAATTATTTAAGGTAAATTACATCTGTTTTAAAGTGAAACTAGTTTTTTTTCATGCAGGCTCTGTCAATCATAGCCAGGGGAGGTGTGGCTAGGGCTGCATAAACAGAAACAAAGTGATTTAACTCCTAAATAACAGTGAATTGAGCAGTGAAATTGCAGGGGAATGATCTATACACTAAAACTGCTTTACTTAGCTAAAGTAATTTAGATGACTATAGTGTTCCTTTAAACATAAAAAGAATAAACTGAATCTTGGTCCTTAACATTGTGACAGTAACATACACTATAAGTCTATTCTCTAGGTGTCTTAAGACAATTCTTGGTATTAAAAAATATACTTACTTCAGCTTTTTTCTTTCCTTTCTTGGATGGAGTTTTACTAGGGGTCTGAGACTCTTTGCTTGGTGTTTTGGATTGAGAAGTAACCTCCTCTAGTTCCTCATCAGATTCAGAAACAGAGTAATCGCTTTCACTGTCAGATCTTAAATTAGGAGCTGTGTAACAGACCAGACACAAAGCTAAATGATTTCACAAGTCATCTAAAAGTGAGTTTGTCCTCCAATAATCATACATGCCCTTTTGAGGGCTCTAGTACTTATAGAACAGGTACAATAACTCACTAAATGATCACAAAAAGACAATTAAATTGGAAATCACCAAAATGCATAACTTAAACTGGCACTATCATGCTGAACTTACCTTTCTTTAATCGATTCCTCTTCTCTCCCTCTGTCAGGATCACCGTTTCTTCATTTCTTCCTGTCTGCTCTAGTTTTCTTTAGAATATAAGACTGGACTACTTGTCTTATGGAGGTTTCCTAAGCCTGACCATCTCTGACCAGCGGAGTAGCAAAGTGTGCTTCATTTCTGGTGGTCAGAGAAATTTTCCCATAATTCTTACCTTTCCTCAGTGTTCTTGCGATGCTTCTCATTTAGACAGGACGCCGGCAAAACTGCCGAATTGCGTCCTAACAGAATGAGAACAGTTTCTCCATTCGAGTTAGAATCCCCCCCACCCACTCAAATTAAAAATAATCCCCTACCTAAACCCTCACCCTAAAAATAGTGAGGGGGGAATAAAAGAACTAACTACCTGTAAAAAAAATGAAACTTACCATTTGATGTCTTCTTTTTTCTAAAATCTTAATTTTTCAGCCCCAAAAAAGGCCAAATAAAAACCATAATACCCGTCGAACTTGTAAAAAATAAAATTAAAAAAAGAGTGCAAAAAAAAAATCAGACGAAAAAGAAAAAACACGATATTCAGTGTTTGTTCGTCTGACATGTCTATTCATTCCTTCGTCTTTCTGACGAATTAATGAATAGATTAAATTCCCGTTCGCACACCCAAGTGTTTAACTGGGCATGTGAGGGAATCTCACAGCGCTATCTAGTGTGGGCAGGTGATGTGTCCCACAGGGACTTCATCTACCAACACAACGATGGAGGCGCCCTTAACATAGGTCCGGGCACAAAATAAAGATTTAAAAATAGGTAATATGGGGGACTTAGGGGCATTTGGGGGTAACTATGGGATCAGTTGGATGTAGTGGAGTCGGGAGGGGGGGTTTAAAAAAACTAAAAGAGGGGATTCGTGCCGCATTAATTAGCAGTAGGTTGCCAACCTCACATTCAGGGGCAGGGCCGAACTGTAAAAATTATTCATCCCAGGCATTTAAAGCAAAAGCAGCCCAGTAGGAGGGGGAGGGAACAGATAGGAGGCATGTCATGTCATGAGCAATGACACACACACCGCCTCAAAGTGCATGTTAGTTTGCTGTCCCTCCAGGACATCGCTTACATAGAGCTCTGCTGAAGAGCAGTTCTTGTTTTACACAGAGTCTCTATAAGAGGGATACCAGAGGACAAAAGTGGAACATGGCCAGAAAAAGGTGTTGTGCATGTGTAGGGAGGCTGTCTGTGGTTGGAGACGGATTGTGGTATTAGGTTTATGTGTAGAGGTGATTGTTTGTGGTGTACTATATGTGCTTAGAGACTGTAGTGCGCATGTGCTTCCACTAGCTATAAAGTGTGTGCATGTAGGAGATATAGAGATCGTGTGTGTGTTTGTCTAGCAGTTGTAGAGCAAGAAAGAAAGTGTGTATTTGTCTATGGGGTATAGTGTACATGTATGTGTATCGGGGCTGCTGTGTGAGTGTTACGGCACCCTTAGCATAAAAGGGTTAAACCGCCATTTAGTAGATCTTCCCTTCCAGAGACACAGGCACAGCTACTGCAGAACACCAATCCGCAGAACAGGAAACCATATGAATGCTGTAAACAGCCGAATAGGAAAAACCAAACGAATAAGTTTACACTCCTAGCAGTCAAACTGGAACAGCATACAATAAATCCCCCCAAGAACGAGACAAAGCTCCATGTTGAGGGTCAAGCAGTGAACAGACAGAGCTGTGGGTTTATTGTGCTTATGTACTTTCTTACACATTAGTACCACCCACAGGGTTTTGGAACACAACCACATACAATACACTCAGACACTCCCACACAAAATCCTCCCCTCTGCCTGTGATTCAATTACCTTACACAATGGGTAATGTAATTATAACAAGCAGAGAAATACAATTTTTCCACATTATTCATAACTTGAAAAGTATGCATCACATTCACATACATTTTCAGAATCAGCATACTCCAAATACAAACATACGTCAAAATCATACAGATTGGTCCAGTGGTTCAAAAGATAGATCGTAGTCCTTTGTGACCAAAGGAAGCATGGCTTTTCTGCCCAAAACCAGTTCCACAGAGTCTTCTATCCTGGAGATAATTGTGAAGTAATCCAATTATCTCCAAGGACAGAGGCAAAACTCCATTGAACACATGGCAGCAAAAGACAATAAAACACATAAAAACATAACTGTGCAGCCATTGCACAAAACAGGCACATTCAACATATCCCCAGATAGCTCAGATCTGAGCGCACATTATTACTGAATGGCACTCAGAGCACACACATACAGTTCAATTGCCATGGAGCCAAAGTCTTTCCCATAGTCTTTCATTATACGAATGGGCTCCATGGCATAGCTATCTGGGGTATCACCGCTCAAACAGGGCAAGCACCAAATGACCCGGCTTTCATGTCTATGCAGGGGAAAATCAAGCGTTTCAACATGGGGCCATAGTCTAAAGGCAGCAGGCGGGCAACCAGGCTTCTCCAATGCAATGTGGCGAGATTGCTCTCGTCACACATGGGCTGTCGTGTGTGTGTTTATGTATAGGGGATTAAGTTTTTTGTACAGAGTAGTGTGTGTCTAGGGGCTGTAAAGAGTGTTTGTGTGTCTAGAGGGTGTTGTGTATGTAATTGTCTATGGAGCGGTTTAGTGTGTGTGTGTGCATCTAGGGGCATCTAATGTGCATGCATATGGTCTGTAGTGGGTGTACAGAGCACACAGTGTGTTTGGTGTTGTGTGTGTGTGTAGGGGGCTTTAGTATGTATGAACAGGGGTTGTTGTATTAATAATATATATATATTTTATTTTTTAAACATTTTTTATTCCCACCTCTCTTTTGTTTTTTCTGTTACCTTTGGCCAAGGGAGAGGGACATCCTAGTGGTCCGGTGGACTCAGTGTGCTCTCTTGCTGATTGTTTCAGTCAAGCTCTAGCAATAGTGAGAGTGTTGCCATGGTAACTGGGCTTCTAGTGCTATTGAGATTATTTGCTCCCAATGCCGAGAGCAAATAATCTCAACGGCACTGGTGGGGAGATTATTTGATCCCAATGCCGCTCGGCATGACAGTGTAATGGCCCAGTGAGGGAGATCTCTGATCTCCACACAGGCCCATAATAGGACTTGTTTAGGCAGTGTTAACTTAGCATCGGCCCTGCATCCTTTGATCTCCCTGGTCGGCCTTGACCCTTGTGGCCTGGTCAGGGGGTATTTTTTTTTAACTGTTAGTTTGCTTTCAGCTAGGTTCAATTGGTAATTAGGGGGATGTATTATCAGTAGCTAAATCACATTTTTTTTTTTTTAGAGAAAAAAAAAGGGGAAAAAAAAGGATCATGTCTGATGGGTAATCCAAGGGAGAGCCATAAATGAATATTTATATTTAAACCCCCTTCCCTTCACACACCTGCCAGTCTTTTCCTTAATCGGTGGGGTGTTGTAGAAATGAATTCCTTTTTTCTGACCTTAAAACATAAGGAATTAATTTTAAATAGATTAGTTTTCCATCTTAGCAGTAAATATTCCCAGTCATTCCAATGAACAGAGCTTGTGTCACAGCTACACTCTAGGTACAAGTCTGAAGCTCCGCTTTGACTACAAAGAAATATTAACATTCTTTGTCCCATATTCAAGCTTAATTCTGGCAAAATGTGGCAAAGGATGGAGGCTTAAAAATGTTTTTGTTTTTTTTCCATCGTCTGCCACAGAAATTATGATACTGCTAGGTGAAAGGTATGACTATGTGCTTTTCTTTGTACTATGTCTGATTTTATCTGCACGGAAATAAAGAATTAAAGGGAAAAGTAAATAAATTAATATAAAACCTTCCATCATCACATTTTGCACTCGCACATCTACAGAGAAATGCTTCAGTTGTGCTGTAATCACACATGTGCCTTGCATTTTTCACTATAAGTTAATTTATATGCTGTGTTCGGAGTCCCCAGTGCGGCATGTGAATTAAAAGCAAACTAGTGATATTTTCTTTCAAGAAATATTATAAGCACAACCAATTGCCAACTATTAGCTATTTAACTACAGATAAAACAAAACGCTCACTAGTGACAATTCTGCTTTAATATGACTCTTCTGTGTACGTGCAGTTTTTATTTATGTTTTTAATGAAACTCCTTCTCCAGGGACATTGACATTCCACCCAAACCACTTCAATAAGCTGAAAAGGTCTGAGTGCCTATAGAGTTCCTTTAAATTACATCTATCACTCTATTCGTATAATCCTAATCAAATGATAGGTTTAGTACTAGGGTCACACTTCATACACAAAAAAAAAAATGAATAGGATAAGATTTCTGCTTACCTTAGATGGAGTTTTGTTTGTTGCAGATTGTTCTGTTGATAGGATAAGATAAGTATAAAAATATACTCTTTTCAGTTTATGCAGTATACAGGTCGATTTACTGACACAGAAAGGTGGATTATTAAGCAATACATACTCTTAGTAATAGCCGGTGGACTCGTTTCTTTTTCTGGACTATGTGATGAAGAGAATGTCACCGTCTTCCCAGGTGTTCTGGCCATTTCCGATGCTAATGATACAAAAAGTTCTTCAATATAAGGATTAGTAAATACAAAAAGACCAAAATGTGCAAACTGAAAATGTTTTTCAAATTTGGCCCAAAATGTTAAATGCATTTTTAATACCATGCAATTCACACTTTAGCTTTAGTATTGTTGCGCCAGGAGGGGTATAGCATCACTCAACAGCAATGTGAGAGACCAGCAGACAGCATGCCAAGACGCATGAAAACTGTGATTTAAAATCACAGTTATTCTAGCAAATATTGATTTCTGAACCCTTCCTAAGTAAAAACATTAGTATTGTATTCTTGAAAAACAAATATGAACTTTTTTCCATTGCATTATACAAGGTATGAAAATACTGCACCTTTCTTATTTTGACGGATTGTAATTTTTTTGCAAATAAGTGCTCAAAATTATAATATTTTTTGTTTTGGATTTTGCTAGAAATGTTGTCAGTAGTTTAAATAATACAATAAAAATTTTCATTTTACTCAAACACATACCTATAAGAAGTAAAATCAGAGAAACTGATAATTTAGCAGAAGCCTCTTAATTTCTTTCCAGATACAAATATACATGACTTAGAAATTTGTAGTCCTATGCTACTAGCAAGGCCTTAACAGATACTTGCCACAACCAGCCATGGTATACACCACAGGAGTGAATCTCTATTCAATTGTGCTACGTTTTCACTCACCAATGGCGAGTGGAACATTTGAGCTCTATATATATATATATTTCAAATTCGCATGAATCTACTTACCAAGCTTCGCCATCTTGTTTGAACGCTTAATTGTGTAGAAGGAATACACTTCCCCGCCACCTGCCACTGAGCCCTCCTTAATGGCATCTGCAAATATAAAACATTGCAATATTAAGAGACCAACCTAAATCTTGATGCAAACTCACGTGGACAAAAAAAAAACAAACAAACAAAAAAACCAAGTTGGACATTTATTGAACTACCTTCAGTATTCGCTCCCAACACTTCCACATAATCTTGTTCTTTCCAGACCTGTGGGTTTTCTTCATCAAAGATCTCATCAACTTTTTTAATTAACTTCTTTACATTGACAATACGCTGAGCTGCAGTGATACTTTGGAGTTTTACCCCTAGGGAAAATTGAAGAAGAAAAAAAAAATCTAAACCAAAACAACATTTAAGTAAACGATAATTTGAAGACTTTCTCATACAAACATCATAATACATTTTTCAATTTCTCTATATAAACTCTATACGTAGTGATCACACACACATAGAAATAAAAAGTTATTTTACCCGTTTCAGCCATAATTGTATGTGAACAGCTGCTCAATACTTCTGTACTTAAATAGAAAATATTAACAGCCCCATTATTGGCTGTAATATTTCAGCTTCTTTCTACTCTGAGAAAACCAAAAATAAAATTGGTCTACAGAAAAAGAAGAAGACTTAAACGATCGTGAAAAAGGGATTCCTAACAGAAGGGCTTAACCCAAACAGTAGTAACACAAAACATCATATATTTAAAAAAAAAAATAATAAAAATCATCCACAATGGGAGTACTAGAAAGGAATCCCTAACATTAATAAAAAATTTATAAAATCACAAATTCTTTATTAATTTATATGCAATTGAACATGTTTTCATCTGTATATGTGAACCTCCACAATTACTAAAAGGTAGAAGAGGACAAGATATAAAGGGAACCCAGCCAAATATCCTTGTAAACAATAGATGTTGATCCTTTATTGCAGGTTTCCCAAAACTCTGGCCCTCCAGATGTTGCTGAACTACAACTCCCATGATTCTATGAATGAAATAGATAGGCTAAGAATCATGGGAGTTGTAGTTCAGCAACATCTGGAGGGCCAGAGTTTGGGGAAGCCTGCAAGTTTATTGCGTTGTTTGTATGGTGAACAGAAATACCATATTTACATCATATTCTTTTCATATGATGATTTGTGTTACTTTGTAATCTGGCAAAGCTAATTGCAGAAGTTGTAATTTAAGAGAACTTTCCACAAACAGGATATTTAAAGGCAAGTGTTTTTGTTTTAATATTTTCAAAATTTTCTGCCATGCATTAAAAATTGTGTTCAGCAGTAGCCTGGACTGTTCCTTTAATCCCTTAAGGACACATGACATGTGTGACATGTCATGATTCCCTTTTATTCCAGAAGTTTGGTCCTTAAGGGGTTAAGGATGGAAGTTTGATAACCCCATACTGGATTAATGTAGTTATAGCCTTCAAAGAGTTTTTACCTAGCATTATGTAAAAATTGGTATACATGAATATGGAGTTCAGCTAATAAAATTCTAATCATATATGCACAATACATATTGTTGAGCACCACGTGATAGATCATGGTCTGAAATAGCCGGTAATCCCAAATGACAGATGTTACACATACAGTCCAGCACACACCAGCTCCTGATCTTTAACCTGAGCAAAGATTATTGTGAGAATTTCATACCTTCTTGCTTTTCACTGATGTGTTCCAGGACATCCTCATCCGGGACAAACTGGACCTGCAGAGTCTTAGTTTCTCGAACAGTTTCATGGCTCATGTCCACCTTTTGAAGGAAAATTAAATTATGTTTTTCACTTTTTTATTTTTAAACTAACGTACCCTATCATATAACAAGCAATGCAATATATTCTGAGAAGGTGGTCTTGCACATGAATTTGAAAGAACTACAAAAATGATGCACAATTTAAATGTGATATTTTTTAACTCTTATTCTGCTTGTTTTAATCCATATTTTAAGTTTACTCCAGTCTTAGCACAGGTAGGTCAATTACCACTTTGCTATTTTAGAAGTTCCAACCATGCACAGTCAGTAATAACCTCTCTGGCCTTTCTTTTGTATAGAACGGCTTTGCTAAATCAGGAATTGTCAATAGTGATGTCCCGAATGGTTCGCCACGGACTCATCATTGAGTAAACTTTGACCCCGTACCTCACAGTCAGCAAACACATTCCAGCCAATCAGCAGCAGACCCTCCCTCCCAGACCTTCCCACCTCCTGCACAGCTCACTAAGAATGCAGCTTCACAATGGATGCTGTCCAGGAGGTGGGAGGGTCTGGGAGGGAGGGTCTGCTGCTGATTGGCTGGAATGTGCCTGCTGACTGTGAGGTACAGGGTCAAAGTTTACTCAATGATGAGTCCGCGGCAAACCGTTCGGGACATCACTAATTGTCAAGAAGAATGTTTAAAGTGTCTCTTTCACCTTCTGGTGTCTTTGAATAGTTTTCAAAGACCCTTTCGATGGTGGCATGACCACTTATTGTGCGATGGCTCAGGGGCACGGCAAAGGTGAGACACCATCCACCAGCTTCAACTCCTGGTCTTCATCTCCCAGTAGCCCATGTCAGTGCTGTACTCTAATATGTGTGCAAGAGTACAACACTGATATATATGGAGGATCCCATGAGACATCAAACATAACTTGCAAAACCTGCAGCCATTGCAAGCCCTCCCGTTCTAATTCCAGCCCAGACTTTCTGTGGCTGTCAAATCACAGGCTTCCCGATGTAGCTCAATTAGAAGTCTTTGCAAAGCAGGTGCTCTGGTCAATTGTTGCCTCTTGAGATTAGCTCTGCTGAGGCAACCAAACCAGGAAGTAACAGGACCTGTAGTTGGCTTAAAATCCAGGCTGTGTAACCAGGTTAATTTGTAAGTGTAAATTTGTAATAAAATCTGCACTTTTTGTAAACTTAAATAAAAAAAATAGGTTGCATTCTTCACATATAAAACTTTTCAGCAAGCTAAAGTGCTTTAGGGGTCTGGAGTGTTCTTTTAACGTTAGCCGGAACTCGGGGCTGGCTCATGACGCCGACGAAGGCAGAATTACAGCTCCGGCAGCAGAGGGGTAATAATTTGTATGAGCCACATTTCATAGAAAAATGGTGCACATAAAAACCTAAAGTCACTAAGTGGTCATGGTACTTGGTGTAATCCTTTAAGAATAGTAGGAAATGGGTAACCAGAATCATATATTTTCTTGAATTATTATGACTTATTCATGCCATTTAAAGAGTCCAAAGAGAAATTATTCTTCAATAAAGAAGAAAACTTTCCCTAATGCAGTGTAATAATGCCACATACTACATATCAGCCAATTTCTTGTTACCCATCATCAGGAAAACATGCTTATTTGACAGATACGACTGCAACCATTACATTTCTCACCATAAGTAAATTGCACATCCTAGGGCAGAGATTCCCAATTGGTTTTCCGCGAGAACAAAATTGTGGTCCCGCAGTGATTTGCCCATCGGGTGGCCCTGAGGGTCTAACGATGGGCATTGCTGCAAAGGGACCAGGTCAGCACCGCGGCCAATAAATTGCGCGACCGGGTCCCCATAGTATGGGATGCTGGGAGGAAGTGAGGGACGGACAGTCATTTCCTCCCAGCTTCATATAGAAAAAGCTGCGCTGGAGGGAGAGAGGCAGCAGCCGGCAGTGAGCAGCTCCCCCCACAAACACTAGCCTCAGCCAGCAAGTCACCCTCCTGCAAACAACAGGTATGCGAACAGGGGGGTGACTGCAAATATAAAAAAATGGCATGTGTGTATATACCTGTGTCACTGTGTGTATTTGAGTGTGTGTATCTAAGTGTGTGTATGTGCCATTGTTTACCTGTGTTAGTGTGTATCTGAGTGTATGCGCCAGTGTGTTTATCCTAGTGTCACTGTGTGTATCTGTCAGTGAGTATCTTTCAGTGTATCTATGTGTCGGTGTGCATCTGTGTGCCACTATGTGCCAGATTCATACACGCACAGATACACACGGTGTGCCAGTATGTGTATATGTGTCAGATTCATACACACTCAAACACAGATACACAAACACATCGGCACATACAAAGATACACACACAGATACACACACACACCTGTCCTAGGGTATCAATTATTCCACAACAGCACACAACTTCCATACATGTAACTAGAAGAAAAATGTGGGATATGCAGTTATTCACTAAATATTTAAGTGAAATCTGAATGAGATTATTTAGGTTAAAATAGAAAAGCCAGGACTACAGTGGCATTGGAGATTTTTGTTTAAAGTCAGTTACGGTTGCCTAAATCTTGCCATTTGGCTTCCAGTCTAAAATAAGCACTAAAATATGAATTGTTGGGAAAATCAAACTGAAAAATTTCTCCACGTGAGCTAGATTTCCAGTTCAGCTAATTTGGTCTAAAACATGTAATTCACATTACGATTTATTGGTGAAACTCCAAACAGTAATACATTTAACCCCTTAAGGACCAAACTTCTGGAATAAAAAGGGTATCATGACATGTCACACATGTCATGTGTCCTTAAGAGGTTAAACCCAAACGGCAAAGCATTGGCACTCCAGATATTGTGGACTACATCTCCCATGATGCTTTGCCATTATTCTGGCTGTAAGGGCATTATGGGGAATGTAGTTCCTGATAGGGTATAGTCACCCCTGATGATCTCACTAGAAGGCAGTCTGTAATGATCAACCTAAGCCCACAGGAGCCATGCCTGTCCCATCCCCTCTCTGTATTCCCGGTACCTCCGTCTAACGCTTCCCGCCAGCAGCTTGTCACAGGTCACACGGAATACGGCTTCACTACCCGGCCAATCACCGCACAGATCGCATCCCACGTGATCAATCAAAAGCGACAAGCTGAGGGATCGCTCCGTCCAGCCTTCCAGACGGCGGGGCGGGGCACAGCTGTCACGTGATCTGTCGGCTTGGAGAGTCACGTGATTTTTGTTACTCCACGTGCAGACCCACTGCCTCCTACCACCACAGCCACTGACATGCAGTTCGCACTGTTGGGAATTAATGAAACGCAAACCCGGAAGCAGATGGAACGCAGAGATTAGAAATGGATGGAATGTAAACAGGAAGCGATAGGGCTGCATGACCCAGAAGTAGTACAGCTGGTTTGGTGGTAGGGAGAACTGATAGAACACCGGACCCTGCGGGTATCGTGAGTGAAAGGTAATCAGACTGCATGTCACCCTGGAGGGATCAAAGAAAAGCTGAGTATTTCAGCAACATGTTACATTTACTTATAAGATTATTGTTTTATAACATGAGTAGGCCTATGCTAGGCAAGTATGTCCTGTCTGAAACATGTAGCTAGTGCCAAATAAGCAGGTGCCACTGGGTTTATGTGCAGTGTTATAGTTTGCCAGCAAATATTCAGTATAATCAAACTAATCTAGCTGTATGATGGGGGGCTAATATCAGCTAGACCACCACACAGGTTCATGTGCCCCCTAGCCAATGCCCACTGAGGAAGAGTCCCTTGTTGTCTGCATTCATTATTAAGCCCCCCCCCCACCATGGTGCCGAAACCCGCAAAGAGTCCTCTGAGGTCATCACCGGCACATGGACACGGTCAGCAGACAGAGCTCTCATCCGTGATGTTGTGCCTCTGCTCCCCCATTTGTAAGTAGTTGGGGTCTGCCTTACATGTCGGTTGCGCTGAGGTTGAGGGAGCTTTGTCTTCCTCTGTAGGGTTATGCGTTTGCGGGTAGTTAGGTGCTTGCATTGCCATCCAGAAATTTTCCGTCTGCTCCTGTGCTGCGACGCCATGGGGTCACGTGGCGGAGTCTGATTGTTGCGGTTACCCACCGCAGGATTGCTCCGAGGTGCCGCCAGCTTATCTTCAGGGGCTGAAGTAAGTAGTTTGCCATAGAGCTGTGCCCAGAAGCGCTCACAGATGCGGTCAAATGCGAGGAGTATTGGTTCCACTGGGGTAGATGGTGGAGTCATGGCGGCGTGACCTGGTGAGGCGGCCATCTTGTCTAGGGAAGCCTTGTGCCACCTTGGTGGAGGGAAGCAGCAGAGCCTGGCTAGGCAGTCGGGTCAGATCGCCAGTGAGGACAGGGATAACCCCCATTGGTCTGAAGGGGGGGGTGTAGAGAACAGGGCTCAGTTTCCACAAGCTCCCACTCAAGGCTGGGGATTGGCCGTTTCCCCGTTCTCAAGTGCAGATTCAGACCGCAGACCATTCAGTTTTATGCTGGGTCCACCAGCTGCAGGCAGGAAAAAGCCTGTGTGTCGGCAGACTATTCCTCTGGGTTAGAATCAAGCTTTGGCCCAGATTATAGAACTATAATGTCAAATTTAGGCTAAATAAACTGTTTTCCCCGGGAAGCTCCAGCAGCATGCGACCTGCTCGGTTGGCTGTCAGGCCCTGCCCCGTACTCTGTCAGCTTTTTACAAGTATTGTTAGCTTAATTTCATATTTTACTTTATAATGAAACTGATTAAAATTAATAATATTTTTTTTTAATAAAATCAAAGGATTTAAATCACATTGATTTTAAATGAAAGAACCCTGGTGTTAAATTTAGATAAAGATAGGTGCAAATAAAGTGATTGCATTATGGCCTGTCTGGTGAATGGCTGTTTGTGGCTGTATATCAACAGCATGACAATGAACACAGACCTTTTTCATAAACATCAGGGATACACAAGTGCCTTCAAACATCAGGCTGACACAAACTGTAACAAGCTAGAGAGTCAAATAAGTGATTTCCCTTTATTCAGGGGCATTTACAAATACTTCTTGTGTTTTACATTAGTGCAGAGCTTAATTGAAGTTGAATATATATCTCTAATCGTAGAGATTGCAATAACTCAAACCTCTGTAAATGGACAAGAGCCAATTCTCAGAGCATATGAAAAACACTAAAAATGAACATGGACAGCAATCAGAAGAAGAAAAGGATCTTGGATCTCATCCTGGAGATCATCTACCTGCTGACTGGAGAGGTGAGACATTCTATCACTGTCAGTAAATTCATATTTAAAGAACCTGACTTTTTTTGTTGTTGTTGTTTAACCCTTTAAGGACCAAACTTCTGGAATAAAAGGGAATCATGACATGTCACACATGTCATGTGTTCTTAAGGGGTTAAAGGGACACTATAAAGTGCACTCTAAAGGGACAAAACAACTTTAGCTTAATTAAGCAGTTTTGGTGTATAGATCATGCCCCTGCAAACTCACTGCTCAATTCTCTGCCATTTAAGAGTTAAATCACTTTGTTTATGCCACCCTAGTCACACCTACCTGCATGTGAAGTGCACAGTCGTCCTAAACACTTCCTGTAATAAGTCATCTAATGTTTATACTTCCTTTATTGCAAATTATGTTTAATTTAGATTTTGTATCTCCTGCTCTGTTAATAGCTTGCTAGTAAGTAAGTTACATCTGATTGAAAATGAAACCATTTTGATTTCATGCAGGCGGTGTCAGTCATAGCCCAGGGAGGTGTGGGTAGGGCTGCATAAACAGAAACAAAAGTGATTTACTGCTTAAATGGCAGTGAATTCAGCAGTGAAACTTTAGAGGCATGATCTGTACACCAAGCTAAAGTTGTTTTAGTGACTGTAGTGTCCCTTTAACTAATTTTGTTTTAGGAGACATTTTACAGTAAATATTCAAGGGCAGATCCTACTGCTCATAACCCAAGTATGTAAATAAATATAATATAATATAAATAAATCTTAATTTGCAATCAGTAGATCACAGAGTGAGATAGTAAGGGAGAGAAATCCAGTGACTGGGCTTGTGTTTCATAAGATAAATATATTTATCTGACCCGGTGTCACTGTCAATATTAGGTTCACAAATTTGTGATGAATCCTGGACAGTATGTTAATCACAGCAGCAGTATTCATGGGTCTGAAAAATCCAATAGGACCCAGAGCCCTAACACGGTTCCTTCACATCACTCACTTGACAGAGACAATGATAAGAAGATCCTGGAACTGACCAATAAGATCATCCACCTGCTGACTGGAGAGGTGAGACTGCTGGGAATGGGACATTATACAGTAAAACAGGTTGTGTCTGGATGGTGACCATATCATTGTGTGTCAGGTTCCTATAAGGTGTGATGATATCACGGTCTATTTCTCCATGGATGAATGGGAGTATTTAGAAGGACACAAGGATCTTTACATAGACGTGATGATGGAGAATCACCAGACACTCGGCTCACCGGGTAAGATAGGGTTTAATTACTTGAATTCTTTTCATAATATGCATTCAGAAGAAATTCACAAGAAATTACTTATGTACTTGATCATAATTTATCAATTATTAATGTGATTTATTTCCTCCCCCCCAGAAGATACATGTACATCAGATGGATTACACACTTCTGATTCTTTGTCTGACTTTAAAACCAGTGAATCTGGACACATTAACAAATTTAGGAAACTCATCAAAACAAAGGAAAAAAAGACTGAATCTATAGTAAATAGCACCAAAGAATCACTATCTTTTGAACAAAATTGCCCAAATATTGACACTGATACTCCCACAGAATGTTCACATATAGGATATCTGTCTACTCAGACTGCGCAGGAATCAGCCTCATGTGAAGAAGGAAATCTTGCATACACTGACATGTATACAAGCACAGAACATACACAGAGACGATATCCACTTAACCATATTAAGGAAGAATCATCAGTAGTGGCTCTGGTTTCACATACTGCTGTATATACACCCACAAGAGGTAAACAAATAGACTATACATCAAAGTATGAAACCAGATCATACAAAAAAGGAAACCTCAGAGTAAATGATATTGATAGAACCACAGGACATGTAAATAAGGAATCAGCGGTCTGCAATGTAAGTGTCACAGAAAATCACAATTATATTTCTCCAGAACCTTCAAAGACAGAGGATGTGTTTGGTTATAATGGCGGTAACCTTAACTCACCTGGAAAATATAAGACATTGTTAAAAGAATGTAGAAAAATTGATACAAATATTAATCCTAAATCTGGTAAATATCTCAAGAACAAACAGGCAATATCCCACAGGTCTGTGCATCCGAAAGGTTTTAATGGTAACTCAAAGCATGTTCTTTATCCGTCCACTCTCACAAGAAATGAGATCGCTGCATCTGAAATGGAGAACGTTTTTCACACATCTGATTTAACTAAACATGTGCCAAATAACAAACAAGAGAAACCATTTTCATGTTCTGAATGTGGGAAATATTTTAGTGCAAAACGCAATCTTGCTACACATCAGACTATTCACATAGGGTTAAAGCCATTTAAATGCACTGAATGTGGCAAATATTTTAGGCTAAAGCAAAGTCTCAATATGCATCGGAGGATTCACACAGGAGAAAAACCTTTTGAATGTTCTGAATGTGGAAAATGTTTTGGTAGAAAAGATGATCTTATTAAGCATCAGAGAATTCACAAAAGTGAAAAACCGTTTAAATGCTCTGATTGTGGCAAATGTTTCAGGCTTAAGCACAGTCTCAATGTGCACCGTAAGATTCACTCAGAAGAGAAACCATTTGAGTGCTCTGAATGTGGCAAATGTTTTAGGCTAAAGCCCAGTCTCATGGTGCATCAAAGGATTCACACAGGCGAAAGACCATTTGAATGTTCTGAATGTATGAAATGTTTTGGGAGAAAGGATGAACTTGTTAAGCATCATAGAATTCACACAGAAGAAAAACCATTTGAGTGCTCTGAATGTGGCAAATGTTTTAGGCTAAAACCCAGTCTCACAGTGCATCGGAGGATTCACACAGGAGAAAGACCATTTGAATGTTCTGAATGCTTTAAGTGCTTTAAGAGAAAATATGAACTTATTAAGCATCAGAGAATTCACAAAAGTGAAAGACCATTTAAATGTGCTGAATGTGGGAAATGTTTTAAGGTTAAGCACAGTCTTACTGAGCATCAGAGGATTCACACAGAAGAAAAACCATTTGAGTGTTCTGAATGTGGCAAATGTTTCCGCCAAAAAGGAACTCTTGCTTCACATGCATTAATTCATACAGGAGAAAAACCATTTGAATGCTCCGAATGTGGGAAATGTTATAGGCTAAAGTATAGTCTTATGAGGCATCAGAAGGTTCACAAAACGGAAAACAAGCCTAAAGGGATTCTATAGGCACCCAGGCCACTTCTTTATCTCTACCAGTTTTCAGCAAGAAATTAAGACCGTGTTTACATTAATGCCTTGGGACACCTCCAGTGGCTGTCATGGAGTCGCTGAACATTCCCCACACAGATGCATTGATACGATGCATCTCTATGAGGAGATGCTGATTGGCCATGGTGTCTAAAGCATTGGATTGGCTGAGATTGTCAACTTTCCTGATCTCAGCCAAGTCGGACCCACTCCGCTCTAGAATAAAGGTGTGCAAACTCCCCTTTTACATTAGTGACAGGGTGGCTGAGCAGCTACGTAATTATATTACAGCTATAGTGACAGGAATGCATGTTTGTATTCCTGTCACTATAGTGTTACTTTAAGCCAAAGATGGTAACCTAGAAAATCTGTCCGCCAATGTATAACAATTCAAATCCGTAAAGAGAGAATAGTCAGCAGATTAAGCTATACATCATCATGGTGTAACAGTCCAAGGGGGTAAGGGAACTGGATCCAGAGGTGATTAGAATGAGAAGCTAAACAGTTGGATATGAGATAGGTAGCTATCCCGTCTGCAGAGACTACTCCCTCAGAGAGTACGTTTATTCGGATATTATGAATGGAATTCCTGAACCAAGATCGGAGTGTGGATATCATGGGAAGGAATCCACTTATTACATTCAAGATCATAAACTTTTCATTTAATTAGATACTTAAGTCATCTATAACGGATTCTAGAATCCAATTTAGATTCATTTTCATATTCCTTCTTATAGAGGGTGATTTATTAATAGGATTCTTTTCAAAAGAATCTGGGCGGTTAGATTTTAAAAGGAAAATATGGAACACGTATCCTTATGTTTGATGGTAACAATAATTTGAAGGTAGCATAATTTATTTTGTAAATTATTTTGAAGGGATCAATATATTTGTTTTTTTTTTAAAATTCTTTATTTTATTTGTGCGTGAGTTAACAACATGCGAGCAGGGCCACAACAGCGTCTGCAGGCGTCTTCAAGGTATCACAAAGTGTGGCAATAGTAAACAGCACAGTTTTTATATATGTATATATAACATGAAGATCACAGGCTACGAAACTTTAGCAATTAGTAGGAGACATGCTAGGTCAAATATGCATATAACGTAAGTATTAACCCTTAAGCTGATGGTTTGTATGTAGGCTACTTGTTGAGACAAAGTAATGTGAACACACTGTTAACGAAAGGCAATCAAGCTTGAGTCATGTAGCAAATATTAGTTAAGCATGGGACGGTAGCTTTAAACATGAATTACACTCTGTTTGCATTATTGGCTAGGTCAGTCGTTGGTCCATGTATTATTGAGGGATATACAGTGTCGTGTATCAGCCTCCAGTCATAACTATCAGTGCACAACTAGGTCAGGGTTACAGTCATATAGGTTCTCACTTGGTTGGGTACGTTTGGCTTTGTATGACATGCTGCTGTGTGGATGTGGTGTGTTGGTTTGTGCGTTGCTTGTAGGGCAGCGATATCTATGTGAGTGCGTGCTTGTAAGTGCTGTGTAGACTGCGTGTACATTAGGTTAATACACAAAACAGAATGCTAAATAATTTGCTTGTGTGATTCAAGTAGGTCACCATAAAAGTTCAGGCACCCTGATGTATCAGGGGGGTTACCCGGGTTTTCTTCGTGATGAAGGCTGGCGTCAGGGTGGTCCCGAGTCCACACTGCTGGGGGAGGGTGGAGGTCTCCGTTTAATCGATACCTGCTCTGCTAGTGCTGTGTAGCAGGGAACGAGCGTCCGTCAGAGCAGGTATCCAGGCATAGTCCATGTTGTTCTGTGGGGTCCTCGCTGAGTGATCTTGAATGGCCGCCGCCTATTATGAAACTTGCTTCTGAGGGCTGGTGTCAGGCCTGGGTAGTAGCTCCGTTGTAATCACCTGAGTTTGCCGTTATCTGGGTCGCGGTGATGCGAGCTGGGCGGCAGGTGAGTGTGAGGTGGGTCCTCGTGTGGAGGTAGCTCTCTTTGTTTCAGGCTCTGATTTCCCGGGCTGGAGTGGTAGTGGCGCCACATCCCATCCCCCTAGTGCGGTCGCCATGATCCGCTTGCCGGGATCGCTTGTACCGCTCGACTTCGGCATGTGTGGGTGCGAGGGTAGGTAGTGGGTTGTCCGCCCCTCTCTGTTGCAGGGTTGGGGTGTTGGAGCCCTGTTGTCTGCTGCGAACACGAAGATGGCGCAGATCTTCCCCCTGCTTCCCGCGCACATGGCGCCCGCCATCTTGGAGGCCGCTCTCGGGTTCCCCGGCTCCATTTGTGTTCTCTGAAGTAGGGCCACAGGGTGAGGACCGGGATCACCCCCACCGGTCCAAGGGGGGGGGAACGGGTCCGGATCCACCTGGATTCGTGCCTCAAGCTGGGTACTGTGATGCAGGATAGTGGGGCAGCGGCCAGAGAAGGCCCTGCTTGTGGAAGTGTGGCCATCTCCCGGGGACTGAAGCTCGGTGAGCCAGCCTCTCCCAAGGTCCAGCAGTCCCTGTGCTCTGGGTACTGTCGCTGGTGGTCGTTTTAAAGGTGATTAGGCATGGTTTTTCAGCTTAATTGTCGTTGTTTTGCAGGAGCTGCACTTGTTTGCGACCAGCTAGCTCGGCGGTCCGGCCCCGCCCCCATCAATATATTTGTTAGCACATTTTTTGGTTGCTACATGCAAAATTAATTTTTCAGTTGTCAGTAATACCATGTTCCCTTATGATGTTTCTTGCCAAAAATGTTTACATGTGCTTTTGCTTTTTAAATATTATTTTGAATAAAAGTGAGATTTAATTGTAATTCATAAAGGAAATTCTTAAGTCTGGGAAAAGAAGAAGAAATATCTATAGATGTAAACATTATAACCATAGTGCCTATGACATGGACTATTGTGTTGTTGAAGAGTGAGCATTATTGTTGTAAGCAAATTCTGCCAATGGTAGTAATTTGGACCACTTATCTTGGAGATATGAGGAATTTACTTGTATATATTCTTCCAATATACCATTTACTCTTTCTGTTTGTCCGTTTGTTTATGGGTGAAAGGATGTGAAGAATTTGTTCACAATTCTTAAGGAACAACATAGTGTTCTCCAGAATTGTGATGTAAATTGTAGCAATCTGTCTGTGACTGTCATGGAAATAACATAGCCAGAGCCATTGAGTCTGGAATGGTAGAACATGATATGAAAAGGGCCAGCCAATACCCTCCAAGGGCATAGTCATGGTCAGGTCTGGCTGCCCGTGAGCACCAGGACTCCAATCTCGGTAGACATGATGCTTAGGCGTAGTGGCAAGCCCAGTAATAGTAATGAAATCCCTCGCTGTGTGCTTGCTTTCTAGGCTAATGTACGATCCGGTATGCAAGTATCTTGGCCTTCTGGTGGGCTTTGCTTTGCAGCTGTTGTTACAGGTTTCTCCAGTCTTACATCCCATCACTTGCCCGACCCACATCTGGAGCCAGTGTCTTCTGCCGAATACTAGGTGGTAAGCTTGGAAGGATTTGATCACTCCTCGGCCGGTTATTAGACTGTTGCAGGTGGCGGTCCAGCTTCTCCCAGACGGCCACAAAAATTTTGTTGAGGGAGCAGTTAAATGTAACTTGTTTTCTGCAGCTGTCTGCTCGACACAAGGCATCCATAATTTTAGGTTAACCTCCTGTTCATCTTGGCATTATGGCAGCCACTCAGTGTTGTAATTGGGTTCCCAATTCGACGACCGGGATCACCTGTATCGTTCTGGGGGTAAGAGGGTAGATAAGGCCAGCATCAAAGGTGCTGGTGTTCAATGGGCAGGATAGTCCGTCTTTTAGCTGAACACAGATAATCAAGATTTTTATGGAGATCATAAATGAGTATTTTTTACACTAGAAGCCTCCATTCTTTCAAGGATTTAATGGACAACAATTATTTTCCTCCTACAATGTAATTTTGTTCTCTTGAAAAACAAGATAGGATGAAGAAGAAAGGTAGGATTTTTCCTTTGTGAGATGATGGCACAAATGGCAATCTTGGAGGCATCTACTTCTGATGTATAAGGAAGGTCAGGATCAGAAAGAAGAAGAGCGAGAACAGTCCTTAACTTATTCTTTAAGGTTAATATTTCTACAATGTCTTCTCTATTCCTCAGATAGTGGTTCTCTAGTGATACCAAGCTCCATAGGATAGATTTTTTTTTTTTTTTTGATTCCTGAAACATCAGTTTGTGACTTTCGGAATTAGGAGGTCAACACCATGGCAAAGAATGTGTTTTCTCAGCCTTACTTTCACAAAACCTCCTATACAGTGTGATGTATGTTAATTAATCCTACCAATGTTTCTGGAACACCAGTTCTAGTCAATTCATCTTTCAGGGTGCCTGAAAGACCATTCCTGTATTGGAAGAGCAGATTACCAAGATAGCTCTCATGCCCATCTTCTACACAAAGACAATAAATATAAAGGTTAAAAGTATAGTTCTACTATCACCTTGTGTAGGTCATCCAACTGATTTGGATCAAAGAAAACTTTGATAATTTGTCTATCTACACCTTCCAAATTGATTGATTAATGCGTGCACGCTTTCCCTAGAAGTAATTCACACCGGAGACAAAGTTTCTGATCAGTGAAAAACCAAGGAATGCTTTATTCCCCGGAGTGGGGGCTCCTTCTTAAAGCAAAAATACGTCACAGTTTAAACATACAGTATACATTCAACAATTGGTTAACAGTCTAAGGGCTCTTGTCTAAACCCCCCCCTACAGGATGTAGTGTCATCATTACAGACTTCTCCCGCCTATATTCCAGCTCCTGGATACACGATGGGAGGGGGAGTGAGTAGTTTCTTTCAGTTACTTTAACAGTGATTCTCCATTTTGTTACACGTGGCATATAGCTGTTAACTGGCACAAAGGCAGTGGGGGAGGAGTTAGTAAAGGGAGCTGTTAACACAGGAATTTTGGTTACACAAGGTTTGCTTGATGGGAAGGGGGATGCTTAGCAGGATGAAGAATTTACATAGGAAACAGCAACTGAACACATTGTAGGGGGGGAAGGGAATATTTACTCTAGCAGCCAGTTTTAACATAGTGAACACAGAATAAATAGACATTAGTAAATAGCCATTTTATTTTAATTAATCTGTCCATAACACAACTACACGTAAAACTCAGTGTATCAAAACAAAATAAACTTTAGGTGGCAGGACCCTTAATAAATGTATGTAAAAAACATACATGCAATATTTTACAACAGACTTTATTAAAAGACCTAGAAAAAAACATAGCAGACCATAGTGATATCTATATGTAATTTGAAAATAAACAAACACAAAAATGAACCCACTCACATAATGCTGAGACACTTAATAGTAGGCTTAGACTTTCAATGCCTTTTGGTGTAAATATTGCTGAGATCAGAGCGGTAGAATTTTCCACTGTACACTTGACCTCTCACGCTTAAATTGCCATATAACCAAAGTAAGAGTAGTGGAAAGTAGCCAGAAAAGATTTATTTAAACATAAATTAAAAAGATCTCCAATTAGCAGCTGCACTATTATTATTATTGCCATTTATATAGCGCCCACAGATTCCGTAGCGCTTTACAATATGAGAGCTGGGGATTTAACTATAAAGAAAACTTACAGGAACGATAGGTTGAAGAGGAACCCCGCTCAAAACGAGCTTACAGTCTATAGGACTAACTTGTTTCAACATATAATGTCTTTCTCAAAGTGCTTAATAAATTTCCTGCATCAATGTCCGCTTTTTAAATTCATAAAAGGTGTGCTTTTTTGCTCCAACTGTGAGCCAGAGGTCATTGCTATATTCTGAATATGTCCCTTCTGGCTTTAGCATTTCCGGGTCAACGGTCAAGATTACATCCTCCATTATGATGTATTTCCGGCAACCCTGATAATCTACCCGGCTCAATCAGCTGTCCTAGCCCCGATCATGATGTACTTCCCTCTGGGGGTTCGTCCATCTGATCGGATGCCGGTATTAACATCCTTACTTGTACAACGTTTTGTCCTATTATCATCTTGCGCATATCAGCACCATATTGGTGGAGCACATTATCATCAAGGAGGATCCATAAATTCCAACATCTCAGTGATATATAACTTATACTTTTTATTAAATGAACATTTTAAATTAAAACATTTTAAATTGAAAAAACATCAATTTAGTAAGGAGAGGAAAGAGGGGAAGAAAATAAGAGGGAGAAGAGGAAAGGAGAGAAAAATGAACAACAATTAAAAAATTATAATCTGCTATTTCATCAAGAGAGGATTATTTCATAAAGTAATATATCAATAAATATTAAAAACTTAAAAAAAACTACAAAATGGAAGTGATCTTAAAGTTGACATACAAACCTTTAGGAGTGAAAGTTTCAAGATTAAACATCTTTCTCATTTCTGATTTGCTCAATATATTATCCTCGCAACCTTCCCTCCTATGAACTTAAATATTTTCTATACCTAAAAACTGTAAACCATCCGGGTTTCCTCCGTTTATTTCAGAAAAATGTTTTGAAACATTATAGTTCACAAATTAATTTTTAATGTTATTAATATGATCCCCAATACAGACTTTTCATTTTCTGGTGGTCTTTCGCACATATTGATAGCCGCAGGGCAAGTGAGTAAATAAACATCTGAAGTATTGCATTTAATAAGGTATTCAATTTTATATTCTTTATTAGTAATTTTTTAAGAAAAAAACTTTAGCATTCCTGTTTTTTTTTCTTGTTGAAGTCTACACCCTACACAATTACCACAATAAAAAAATAAAACCTCTGCACTGTTGAGGAAATTCTTGCTGCTAACTTCTTTATCTAAAAAACTGTTTGTTAAAAGTTGCCTACCATTCCTTGCATTAGGAAAAATAAATGTAGGTTTGTTAGTAACAAAGGGATTAATATCAAGGCATTCTTTTAAAAATAAGTGTGCTTACTTCAACCTTTGTCTCAGAATATTTATCTTTTATTTCATAGTCTAAAAATCGATTTCTGTCCCTTTGGCCTATTAATTGATCCTGATATTCAGTAAAATCTGTACAATTTCTACGAAACCTGACGAACTGTCCCTTCGGTACATTTACAGGCTAAGGTTGAAAGTGACAGCTTTTTTAAATCAATAAAACTATTAGCTTTCTTAAAATAAGTTTTACTTTTAATAATATTTTGTTCTACATAAATTTCTAAGCCTAAAAATGAAATGGACTGGGTACTAATTTCACACGTAAGTTTAATGTTCCACTTATTATTATTTAGGGAACCTAGATACTCAACCATGAGTCTCTGCTTCCCTTCCACACAATAAAAATATTGTTGATGTATTTCTTTATACAGGACTAGGCCTGCCCCAGAGTTCATGCCGGGGACAACAAATGTTTCCTCCCAATATGACATGAACAAATTAGCATAACTTGGGGCAAACCTTGTAAGTAAAATTGGTTTTAAACCCCCAATTTTTTTTTAATACTATTAATTCTTTTCAAGATAAAATCAATTTGTGAACTTTCTAGTTCTACAGATTTTTCTAAAATGTCTAGTAGCATCACACCCCCTTTTATGTGCACTGTTGGTGTAGAAACTGCTGACATAGCAGGTTTCCATGATAAAATAATTTTCCCATTTTAAATCTTTTAAAAAGTTTAATAAGCTCATAGTATCTTTAAGACATGTTGCACACTTTTTAACTTAATTAAGTACAGAATACCAAGATAGCTCTAATGCCCATCTTCTAAACTGAGTAATATATTCTTCCACAGTATTACAACTTTGAGTGAGGGAATGATATGGGTTATCATAAAGTTTCTCAATTTCAGAAAAAAAAGATCACTATAGGGTCAGGAATACAAACAAACATGTATTCCTGACCCTATAGTGTTAAAACCACCATCTAGCCCCCCTGGGCCCCTCATGCCTCCATAAATATAGCAAAATCTTACTGTATTCAAGCCTGAAGCTGTAGATCTGCATGCTGTTTGCCTCAGAAAAACAAGCTGTCTGCTGACATCATCAGAAGTGGTGGCCTGATCCAATCACAATGCTTCACCATAGGATTGGCTGAGACTGACAAAGAGGCAGATCAGGGGAAGAGCCAGCCTGATTCAAACACAGCCCTGGCCAATCAGCATCTCCTCATAGAGATGAATTGAATCAATGAATCTCTATGAGGAAAGTTCAATGTCACCATGCAGAGGGAGGAGACACTGAATGTTTGGATGGATTTTAGGCAGCCATGACCCAGGAAGGATCTCTAACAGCCATCTAAGGAGTGGCCAGTGAAGTTATCACTAGGCTGTAATGTAAACACTGCTTTTTCTCTGAAAAGACAGTGTTTACAGCAAAAAGCCTGAAGGTAATGATTCTACTCACCAGAACAAATTCAATAAGCTGTAGTTGTTCTGGTAACTATAGTGTCCCTTTAAGCTTATTAAGAGATACGTCTTCACTTTCAGGTGACTGAAAAGCCCATGTAGAGGGAGCTCCTGGTAGAAGGGAAATACATGTTTTTATTCTAATGTCATGCCATGAATAGATACAAGCTTTCAGCATGAGCTACAACTTTCATTTTATTTTTTAAATTCTTTATTTTAGTCAGTCATAGGACATCCTAAACAAAAAATATATACTTGTGTCACTGTCATACAATTTGAGTCGGTAAAATTGTGAAAATATCAAGAATTTATATATGCAAATTTTCTCATACAAGCTACCAGTTTTTCAAATTTGAATTAAAAAGTCAATAAGATATCATCAACAGAAAATAAATTCTAACCAGGAACCAAGAAGGAAAGATGGGGAGGGTAAAATAGCGAAACTGTTCTTCTAGGGAGTTCCAGCTCCTTTCCAGGTTCGATTTGAATGATAAGTTTATGAAATCAGGCAGAGGTTTTGCACACTATAGCAGTTATCCATGAGGTAATTTTCCCCAATTTTAATAACTATGTGCCATACAGAAGGAACTTTAACCAATGTGCTGCCAGTGTCCTTCGTGCTGCTAAATTTATATTATTAAGTAGCTTTCGTGAGTGAGACGGGAGACCCTCAATAGGTCGGGACAGTAGGTATGACCATAGTTCCAATTCCACTGGTATCAGCAAGACCACTGCATCCAGGTCCCTGACACCTTTCCAATACAAGTGTAGTTTGGGATAGTCCCACCACATATCTAAGTAAGTTCCCCAATGCCCTCATGAACACCATCATGAGGCAGTCAGGGTTTTACCCATTCTATGACGCTGAATAGGTGTGGTGTAGCATCTAAACAGAATTTTGAACATCTGTTCCTGGGATGTTGCATACACTGATATTCTGGGGGGTGCTCCCTAGATGTCCTATAGAAACTGAACTTTGTTGATGTTTACTCCTAGTACATACATTCTAGAAATAAGTATTTTACTTAATATTAGTAACATTGTCTGAAAGAACAAAATTACAAAAAGTAAGGGCTTTTCGTAATTTTGGTCTTTCAGCTTCTTATCATTGAGGGTTTGCCATAAGGATACCAAAAAGGGTCTATCCACTAAACCGCTCCCTAATTTGGTTCCCCTAAATTTGGCAATCCCACAAGGGTACAATTTAGGGAGTAATCTACTAAATGGCTGTAAGATGCAACCACTACCCGCCAAAGAAATGGAATCTCATTCCAAATTATGCCCAAAAACAAATTGACTAAATAAATTTTGGAATAATTAAAAAAATGTATCTTTTGGATGAAACGAAAATGTTGTCGATGCCAAGTATAATAGAAGGTGCCAATGTTTCAGAATTACCTTCTGCACTCTAGAAGACCAGATATTAAATTATGTAAACTTTTATTTATCCTGACTCACTATATTCAGTTGTAGTTCTGGTTTGAAATAGTATGTGTGGCTTCCTGTGTTTCATGCTTGATAAAGGGTCATTTTGTTTTTTGTTTTTTTCCAATTCATCTTTATTGAATATATTTTTTTAATTTTTATAAATAGACATACAATCACATTTCTTATCATGCAATCAAGTGCGTAATTCAGCTTAATCTTGCATTATTTAAATTTTTTATGCAAATATTAATCTCACCATAAACTAAACAAAAAAGTTTGGACAGATACTGCGTCTTTTTTATATTTATATAGAGTCTTTATATCTTTATTAAAGTACAATTTGTCTTCCTCTCTCTGAAAATGTATTTGGGTTTCTATTTCGATCCTGTTGGAGTAATTGTATTTCTGCAATGTCGAGCTAAACACATTTTCGCTGCAGCCAAGATTGTAGCGGAGATGCAATAGTACCCAGGTTATCTCCGCTTATAATCCAAGTGAGACTCAGGAACAAGTAAATAGTAAATCCAAAGGCAGGGTTTCCAGCAGGTAAAATACAGCAATATCCCAATAGCAATCCCAATAACTGGACGACACACAGTTTCAGGAGCATAACTGACAAGCCTTTAATCACAGTCTCCTTATAAAGCATGCTCCCATGCAAGGGAGGGATTTACAGTAATTATTACAGTAGCCAATCCTGTCCTGGTAACCTCCCACACATCCCCTCCCCTCAGCCAGCATCATAATCCCCTTAGCCATCACACCAATTCCCCCCATTTCTGGATGTACCCCTAAACGTAGGGGTACCCCTTTAAATCATACATCCCCGGGTAGCCCTGATCTGGGTGAACAACATATCCAAAAATCACCCAGATCGGACCAGGGGTTCGGGAAAAGTATGGAGGGAATAAAATGACCGACCGCACGAACAGAGATAGCCGAATTCGGTTCCATGTGAATGGGCCTTGCGGTCGGTCCTGGCATAAGGGAATAAAATACACGAAAGCCTCTAGCTATAGAGGCTAGGGGGGGTTCGCCTGAATCCCCTCGTTCGGTATTCTCTATTTACCGAACGAGGGGCCGTTCGGTAGTTTGGAACCGAACGGACCAGGGCTGTGGAGGTCTCAGCGGTGTTCGCCTACTCGAGTGTCCGATTTTAGTTCCAGACACTCGACGGCAAAACACCGCTGTTCGGGAGTTTTAAAATGGCCGCCGCCACGTGTTCGTTTGTCGAATGGCGGCCACCCCCGAGAACAAAGGACGGCTACTTACTGTTCAATTACCCGTTCGCAACAATGTTGCAACGGGTAATTGAGGACACACTTCACACAGGGAGGTCTGGTTGTTCGGTAGTTTCATTCGAATAAACTAAGGGAATGAAACTACCGAACAATCAGAGGAATACAATTCTTTTTAATACACAGAAAATACAGCAGATACACGGATGCAGCTTTATACAGTATTTTTGTATGGTCGCCTGGTGCCATCCGCTACACTGCTCCCCCTTGCCCACAAGCCGGCATACACAGTCTGATCCAACACGGATCGGCTTGGGGATGTCCGGGGAGGCTCACGGATCATTTCTCTAGGTCAGTTTGTCGAGACAACCCATCAGCATTTCCATTCTGTTTAGCCGGGCGGTACTGGATATTAAAGTCAAAGGGCTGCAGCGCCAGACTCCAGCGCAGCAGCCGGGCATTGTCCCCAGCCACCCGGTTTAGCCATACTAACGGGTTGTGATCCGTGAGCAGGGAAAAAGCTTGTCCGTACAAATAGGGCTGTAATTTCTTCAGGGCCCACACCACAGCCAGGCATTCTTTCTCGATGGCGGCGTAGCTTACTTCTCGAGGTAACAGTTTCCGGCTGATGTAAGCCACGGGATGTTCTCCGCCATCGGCCCCGACTTGGCTTAATACTGCTCCCAATCCAAACATAGAAGCGTCTGTGTGGACAAGAAAACGTTTAGTTGGATTGGGAGCTGCCAAGACAGGGGCATTTGTCAATGCATCTTTTAACAACTGAAATGCCTGTTCACACTCCGGGGTCCAGGTTACTTGGCGGGGTAGGTTTTTACGGGTCAAGTCGGTGAGAGGTTTGGCCAGGGCACTGTAATTCGGGACAAATTTCCGGTAGTATCCGGCCGTTCCTAAGAACGCTAACACCTGGGTCTTAGTCCTAGGGGTGGGCCATTGAGCTACAGCCTCTACTTTGGCTGGTTCCGGCTTTTGCTTGCCGCATCCTACCCGATGACCTAGGTACTGTACTTCAGCCATTCCTATGCTGCATTTGGCTGGTTTCAGCGTTAAACCAGCGGCCCTAATCCTATCTAGGACCGCTCCTATATGGGTCAGGTGTTCCTGCCAGGTATTGCTGAAAATGGCAATATCGTCGAGGTATGCGCAGGTATAATCCTGGAACCCATCTAGGAGGCGGTCCACCATCCGCTGAAAAGTAGCCGGGGCGTTTTTCATCCCAAACGGCATGACCTTAAATTGGTACAAGCCGAATGGGGTGACAAAGGCCGACTTAGGGATGGCGTCTTGTGCCAAGGGTATTTGCCAATACCCTTTACACAAGTCAATTGTGGTGAGATAGTGCCCCCTCGCCATCCGATCCAGGAGTTCGTCTATCCTGGGCATAGGATAGGCGTCCGATACCGTCTTCTCATTTAATCTCCGGTAGTCTACACAAAACTGGTCGTGCCGTCCCGCTTTGGTACTAGGACTACCGGAGATGTCCAGGGGCTGTCAGAGGGCTCAATCACCCCAGCTGGAGCATCTCATCTATCTCCTTGCGCATGTTCGCCCGTACCGCTTCTGGGATGCGGTACGGGGTCTGACGCATGGGAAGTTGCCCTGGGGTGTCTACTCTGTGAGTGGCCAGAGGAGTGTAACCAGGTACATTAGAGAAGATATCCTGCTTCTCCCTCAACAGCTGTTGTACCTCGCTCCGCCCCTGTGGGCTCAACCGATCCCCCAGGGTGACCTCCCCTAAGTCCCCGGATAACTGACCCTCTCCCAGCAGATCCGGGAGAGGTAAACTGTCAAACTCCTCGGAGTTAGGCGCACATATAGCGGTCACTTCCTCCGAGCGCTCCTGGTAGGGCTTCATCATGTTCACATGGAGCATGCGTCGCCCCCCAGTACCAACGCACGAGCCGATTATATAAGTGGTGTCACACCGTTGTTCCACCACCTTATAAGGGCCCTGCCAGGCGGCCTGCAGCTTATCGTGTCGGACAGGTTTTAAGATTAACACCTTCTGCCCGACCTGAAAGCTACGGTCCCTGGCGCCCCGATCATACCATGTGCGTTGGCGTGTCTGAGCCGCCTGCAAATTCTCGCGTACCGTCTGAGTTAAGGCCTCAAGGCGGTCTCGGAATGCCAACACATAGGGTATGATGGGGGTACCGTCAGTGCTCCGTTCTCCCTCCCAATGCTCTCTGATCAAATCTAAAGGCCCTCGTACCCTGCGGCCAAACAATAGTTCAAATGGGGAGAACCCAGTGGATTCCTGCGGCACCTCCCGGTAAGCAAAGAGGAGGTGCGGCAGGAACTTCTCCCAGTCCTTGTGGGTCTCTGCGAAGGTTTGGAGCATTTGTTTCAATGTACCGTTGAAACGTTCGCAGAGCCCATTCGTCTGGGGGTGGTAAGGGGAACTAATGACCGGCTTAATGTCACAAAACTTCCAGAGGCGCTGCGTGACTTCGGCGGTGAACTGGGTGCCCTGATCGGAGACAATCTCCCTGGGGAGTCCCACCCGGGAGAATATCTTCATCAGGGCTTCAGCTACTGTCTCAGCCTGTATATTCGTCAGGCCCACCGCCTCTGGATATCTAGTGGCATAATCTACTACGGTCAGGATAAATCTTTTACTTGACGGGCTTGCTTTGTTGAGGGGTCCTATTAGGTCAACTGCTACCCTGCTAAAGGGTTCCTCGATTATGGGGAGGGGATGTAACTTGGCCTTGCGCCGGTCCCCCCTTTTCCCCACCCTTTGACAGGTATCGCACGTGTTGCAATACCTGCGCACCTCCTGGCTAATTCCCGGCCAAAAGAAACTTTGGGTTAACCTGTATCGGGTCCTGCTGACCCCTAAATGTCCAGATAGCGGAATGTCATGGGCTATCCGTAGTAACTCCGCCCGGTACCGCTGAGGTACCACTAACTGCCTCATCACAATCGGGTCTGACCCGGATACCTGCTTATCCGTCTCCCGATATAACAGCTGGTTGTCCCAAATAAACCTTTCGCCCTCCCCCCCAGGCGTGTCTGCTGTCACCTTGTCCCTATACACCTGCAAGGTGGGGTCAGTCACTACCTCAGCTGCAAATTCGTTAGGAGGGGCCCAGGGAACACAGTCAGGGGAAGGGGAAGGATCTCTTACCTGGACCTCCGGGAGTGTGTTGTAGTCCTGGGTGCGGGCCTGTTGTC